AGGGGCCCAGAGAGGCAAAGGAAGGCCTTCTTCTCACAGCACAGAGTCGAACTATGGGACTCACTTCGATGAGGTTTGGTGATAGCCACCAATTTGGGGGGCTTTAAAAGGGCATTGGACAAATTCATGAGGAGGTGGCAGTCCATGATTACTTCCCTTGCCGGGCATCTTGTGTGGACCGTGCCGGACCAGGTGGCCCCTAGTCTGACCCAAAGGGGCTCTTCTGACATTGTTACAAGGAAGCCTACGTTCCTCCCATAATTTAGCACACTGATGTTTTCCACTAGATGACAGCAAGAGTCCCTTCCAAGGACACAACTCCCCTGGGAGTTTAGTTAACAAAGGAGCTTGTTTCTGGGAAGACCCACCCCTTTTTAAAACACCATGAATCTTCTGGGTTCCAGGTTTCTTGTTTTCCATTTTCTAGTAACAAAATGAAGACAGGCTGTGTCCTCTTTGCCAGCATCAGCTGCTCCTTGAAAAGAATCATTTTCCCTGTGGATGATGGATATCGGAAATGGGTCACTGGGTTGCCTTCCCTTTTAGATTTCTGGCATGGGCCAAAGACTGGGGGCATTTTAACCCTTCCTCCTGGGTCAGGCCCTTCAGCTTGTCCTGCCTCTGCCTCTGCTGTTCCAGACAGACATTGGCAAGAAAGTACATTAGTAAAGCTTTGTAGGAGACGATGATGACGAGGGACGGTTTAAACTGAAAAGCAGCTGCGGGGAGCATCAAGCACGCCGCCCCTTTCCCTCTACTCAGAGTCGCAGCCTCTGGGGCTGCTTCTAGCTGCCAGGACTTCATGACACGCTCTGTGAATCTGCCTGTCTTTCCTCAACTTTTTCCAGTGCTGAGCCATCATCTTCTCCCCATCACTTCCCAGCTCCACAGCCGTCTCCGCAAGCGGCTCTTCCATGCCAGTGCAGCCTGGAGAAGGCGCTACTGAGCTGAAAGGCCGTTGATGGAGGAGGAGGGTTTTTCCTGCCTGGATTCATACCCGGACCTCACAAGCCCAACACACCGCGGAGGCTTTGGTCCCAGCCACGGGCTTCTTTGCCAGGCAGCGGGACGGCATTGAAGCGACCTCATTTGGCCTGGCCTAGACTCCAGCCCACGGGAAAGCAGCCACGAAGACGCAGCCCAGTCAGGTGTGAAAGCCTACCCTGCACAATGTGGAGGGAGCCCTGGCCTGGGCGCACCCTCAAGCCGGCTGCTCTCATTCTTGGCGTGCAGCTGCCCCCAAGCGGCCAAGAGGAAGAAAACGGAGAGCGCAGCTGAGTCGCCCGCTCTGAGCTGGTGCCCGGCATCCATTTCAAGGCGGAAGCAGGGCAGCACGCGGAGGGACGCAAACCACAGACAGATCCACCCGCCTAGTTACATGGGTGCTCCCTAAACGTGCGGATGCGAGATTGCAGGGACGGCACCTTGCTGCATTCTCAAAGGCTTCATTGAGCAGCTTTTCCCAGCTCTGGGTCCACAAGTGTTGTCAGACTACAACTCCCAACATCGCCGGCCATTCTGATGTTGTCAGGAAGGGTGCTGTAGCCCAACAGCCTCTGTGGGAATTCACAGGGTGGAAAGGCTGGTTTGGAGTGCGGACGGATCAAAAGGACCCCGCTGGAAAGAAACCTATCCCCTTATGTGGCTGGATGAGTCATAGCTCCCAATGCTCCTGATCCTGATCTCCGAACCAGAACTCATGACAGAAATGCAACGGGCACCCTCCTTGGAGGAGGTAACTCTCCCACATCTCAGCATCGGGAGAGCTCAAACCGCACCACCAGTAGTGGCAGGGAAGCATGATCCAGCTGAGAATGGTTGGAAGAACGTAGTTCCATAGCAAGTGATCATGCAGAGAGGACTTTTTAATATATTTTTATTTGTTTGTTGGATTTGTATCACACTTTTTTCCAGTGAGCTCAAGGCAACTTATATCATTCTCCTCCTGCTGCTCCCAACCTTATCCCGCAACAACCCTGTGAGGCAGGATGTGCTGAGAGCCTGTGACTGGCCCAAGTCGCCCCCAGGCTCTGAGGCTGAGCAGGGACTCGAACCCGGGTCCCCCAAGTCCCAGCCCCATGCTCTTAACCACGACCCCACCCTGGCTCTCTTAAGGCTGTGGGCTCCTGCTGGCATGGGAATTCTATCAGGCAGAACTAGCAATGAATTCTCAGCACACTTGCCAAACACAATTCCCCTGGAAGTTTTTGAAGAAAGGATGAAGTGGATAAACCAAGATGAAGGTGTGTCCAGACGGTAGTGAGAATGGAGTCCCTACGCTTGAAGGGGGAAGCTGGCCAAGGGCCCTTGGGGTGGGGTGCCAGGAATACGTTGGAGCACCGACCAGTTGCATAACTGAGTCCAACTGAGTGGAGACATTCTCTTTGTGACACCCTGTTCAAGTGCCTCGTATTAAGAAAAATGAAAGCGAGTTTGGAACAGTGGTGCACAATAAAATTGTGTGAAATTGGGTAAAAGTGCACCAGAAGCTTTGGAAATGGTGAGGAAAGCTTACGGAGAAGCTGCGCTATCATCTGCACGAGCGCACCGACGGCACAAGGTGAGAGATGCTCAACCTGGACCCTTCATCTCGACAACGCACCGAGCCACAGTGCTTTGGCTGTCAGAGGGTTTGGCTGAGAAACGCACCACGGGGCTTCCCCACCCACCCGACAGCCCCGGCTGGGCTCCTTGCGACTTTTTCATCTCCCCAACGATGAAGAATGAGTTGAAAGGACGCCGTTTTGGTCGTGTGGATGACATCCAAAGAGCCACGATGCAGGCTCTGAACGCCGTCCCACCTGAGGACTTCCAGGGATGCTCTGAAGAAGGGAAAAATCGCTGGGTGCATTGTGTATGCTCACAAGGTGCGTACTTCGAAGTAGACGATGTTCAATTGTAAAATGGTTCAGTACAAGAATTTTAAAGATATCATTCTCATCACTTTCCGGACACACCTTGTACGTTCACTTGTTTCCAGGTGGGGAACCTCTGGCCCCCAGGTTGCATGCAGATGACCAGCCTCCCCATCCAAACCAAAGGATTTCCCCAGGCTCTGCCCCCCACCAAGTTATTTCCATTCTGCACTCAGTCCGGCTCTGTTGGAGCGAGCTGAGCGGAAGCTGAGGAAGGGGGATGGCTGGATGCCAGCAGCTAGCCTAGCAGGGAATGATAGGAGTTGCAGTCCCATGGATCTGGAAGGCCCCCGACTGGGGACAGGTGGTGGAATGTATGTGCCCATGCTCAGGGCAGGCAAGCTGAGAGGGAAGAGTGGCTTCTGTGTCTCATTTTAATTTCTTACCTTGATCAGGAAAATCACATCAATCTGATTATTCATACTTCTTTTGAATAATGTAGTTTTTATATCTCAGACTTTGCTCCACACATACCACACGTACGTCATTTTCTCTTTTGTGCTGTAGCAATCAATTTTAGGTATGTTATAATGAAATGAATGGACGGATGCATAAATGTCTCTTATGAGAGAATGGCTGCTTTTTCTTAAAAGGGGACAGGGCGATTCTTAACAACCGTAATGAGAAGAAAAGAAAAGCACTGCAGATAAAGGCTATCATCAATCAACTTCTCTCCTTCGTCCTTCAGAAAGAATAACCTGGCCAATGCAAATCCACCGCTTTATCCCTGTTTTGGAGAGAGCAGCTTATGACAGCCCCAAAGTGCCGTTCACTGCGGCTGTTGCAGGCTGGTTGCCCATCCTGGAGAGCACTGTGCAACTGCCAGGTAATACCATCCAGTACTGTCATCCTCTTAGTGAAGGTGGGAAGGCTGGGTTGTGGCGGGGGCTCACGACAGCCCTGTAAGGTAGCTCAGTGCTAATCCTTCAGGCCAGAGAAGGCTGACATGGAATGCCAGCCAAGGTTCCCCTCTCCGTGAACATTCAGGGAACGTATCTCAAAATGCAGTGAGGATCAACCTCCTTCAGAAGCCCACCTTGGAATCCTTCCCAGTCCAGCAACAGTGCTAAGTTGATGCAAAAGCCATCAAGGGATGGTTTGCTCTTTAATAATGAGTGTGGGAGGCTTTCAGAAAAATTAAATACTAATAAATGATATTTAAATGAGCTTTCCCAACCCTCCAGATGTTTTGGACCAACCCCGACCAGCTCCAGCCAGCAAGCCAATGTTCAGGAATGCTAGGAGATGTGGTCCAGAACTTTGGAAGCACACCAAGCGGTGTGGGGAAAGTCGCTTTTAAATAAATGAATAAATGCGAATTTTCAAGGGGGTCGCCATCTTCATCTGTTACAGTACATCAACCAAACTTCTAAAATTTAGAAGTGCAGTTCTATACATGTTTGCATAGGGAGTTCCTGAGAATGCCTGGGAGTTGCTGAAGTTTTTGCCGTTCAAAAATGTATAGGGCTACATCCTGCGGAAGTGTAGGAACCCCTCTTTGTAGTTTCTTTCTTTCTTGGAAGGAGAGCCCACGCCCCTCCTAAAATGTTGGATTTCTTCCACTGATTTCCATGAATTGCTTTCCTTTGGAGTGGAGGGGTGTCGAAGGATAAGGTCCTGTTGAGTCTATGGTGTCCCTCTACAATTTCATGACTCTGTGTTCCATACTGTTAACAAACGTCAATTGCCCTCTACAAGGATGCCCTCTCTGCCCTCAGTGCAAGCAGTCAATGGTCTTGTCTATTGGTTAAAAGTCCGAGGAGAACGAGACAAAATGCTTTTTATTCCAATGACAAGGTTCCTAACTGGAGTCACAGCACGAGAGGAAGCAAAGGACAGCTTCTCGACCGAAGAGGTGCGTCAATTTTCGTCCCTGAAAGGCGTGCCCTGAACAAAGATGGCCGCACGCTTCGCCTCTCGCACCGGCGCAGACGCCATTTTTCGCAGGGAGGGGGCGGCGTCACTTGCCACGCAGAAAAATGGTGGCTTTGGCGTCACAAAGAGGCAGCCGCTGCTCCCCATTCCTCGTTTTGATTGACCATCTTCGGCGGAAGCGCCGCAAGGGACGCGGAAGTGGCTTTGCGAGCAGCCGGAAGTAGGTGATGGTGCCTGGTGGACCCGACCTGGTTGGGGACCAGCCGCCTATTCCATGCGGGCCCGGAGGGTGAGTCGCTACCAACCCCGTCCTAATTTGCATATGCTAATACAGTGAAATCCATACAGATTGGCACCCTTTAATGGGGCGGGGCTGCTGGTGACGTCGACGCTTGCGTATGTCGATCTAGGCAAATATATGCAAAGTGCGTGCAAATTGTTTATGGGGCGAAATAGTAATTATTCTTAGCGTTTACTTACTCCGTTCGATTCCTTTCTCTTTCCCTTCTCTCCATCCCTCCCTCCCTTCCAAGAAGTGCAGGGTAATCACATGGGACACACAACAACCCTGTGAGGTAGCTTGAGGGAAAGCGTGGCTGGGCAAAAGCTTTCCTGCTGAGTCAGGATCCGAATGCGGGTCTTCCTGGGCCAAGTTCAGTGCCCTTAACTGATCCTCACACAAGCACATTGAATTACAACTCCCACCATCCCCAAGCACAGCCATTGGAAGGCACCATGCTTGGGGGAAGGTTTTAGTGGCTCTGCTGACTGGGTGGTGGCAGTATTAGTCCAATGTGTTTGGAAGGTTCCACATTTGGGGAAAGGACTACAATTCCCACCACCCACAATCAGTATAGCAGTTGCTGGCTGGAGCATGCAGGGAGTTGTAAGTCTTTTTTCCTGTCTAAGACTGCACCCTTACAAACACCAATTCAGAAAATCAGAGCCAAAGTTAGTGCAAAGCATAATCAGTGCAATTGTACTGATAAAAATGAAACATAACTTAAACACAAGAGAATACAAAGTTTATGTTATGTAGCCTTACATGGCAATTGGAGAAGGCCCAAGAAGGGAAGCCAAAGGCAAAATAATGTGGGTGGGAGTGTGCTGATGTGGTTGCATGGCTTCCTTTTGTGGCCAGCAAAGCTCCAGAAGCAAAGCCCTCGAGACCAACAGGGAAGACCTGTGGCAGGACAGTTTGTGGCCTTCCAGATTTTCTGGTCTAACACTTCCATCAGTTCTAATCAGTGCAGGCAGCAGTGAGGGGCCTGGGAGCGGGGGGGCAAAACAACTGGAGGGCCGCAAGCCGTGCACCTTTGGGCTAGCCCAATGGCACCTTGCGGGTTGGAGAACCAAGCCAAACCGAGTCCTTTCTATGCCAGCTTCACACACTGGAGACATTCAGAAAGAACCTGGACAGCCATCTGAGGTGGTGTGACTTGGTGTCCTGCAACAGCAGGGGGTTCGACTCGACGGCCTTCATGGCCCCTTCTTCTATTCTATGATTCTTTGTTCCTGTAGTGGCCTGCCGGATGCATTTGTGAAGCCCCCAGGAAGGATGCAAGCGCAGTAGTGGAGAGGGATGATGGTGTCACCCCCGTGTCACAGATGGTAGCGGTGAAGCAGCTGAGAAGGGAGTGGTTAATGATGTGGGGAGAATTCTCCCATCTGTTCCAAACGATTAGCTAAATTTTCAGTGAACCTCCTGAGGAAGTGAGAAGCAGCCACCACCTTGGCACATGGTACCTCCCTGTTTTGTCCTTGCTGCATGGAGGGTGCTAGAAGGTGCACTTTCTGTGGTTCAGCTTGGCTTGAAGTAGCAGCTGGAGGTTCTGTTGTTCCTTTCAACAGGGTCTCTCCCACAAAACAACTGAGAAACGCCCTTCCAAGAAGCTGAAATGTGAGAAGAGAGGTCTGGCAAAGGTAGAGCTCCAAGGAGCTGACATTCGTGGGAGCACCAGCTGTGCCCTCCTCTTCAAGGAGCCCACTGAACCACCTCCCTTGGAAGCGAGTTTGCCGGAGCGCCAGACAATGCTGCAGAATGAAGGGAAAGTGATTCCCAAAGCGATGGAAGAGGCGCTGGGCAACCAAGGCAGTCCCTGCACGAAGCCGCTGGAGCCGGGTGCCAGTGGCCGCTTCCCAAAGGCTGGTGGGGAGCCGCTCTGTGTCCAGAATGCAGCGGAGCAGGAGGAAGAGGAGGAGGAAGATGAAGAGGAGGAGGATGGGGCTGGATTGTCTGATGACTCGGAGATGGAACCGGAGGACGTGCAGCGCCAGGTGATCGAGGTCGACAACAGCGCCTTCTTGAACGAGGACAGCAACCAGCCACTGCCAGTGGACCGGTTCTTTGGCAGCGTGGCATTCATGCAGGTAGAGTTGCTGGAAGAAAGGCTGGGAGGACAGGGCCGCCTTTCGCAGCCTGGGGCCCACCAGGTGTGGCAGGGCAGAGGTGACGGGGCAGGATATCTGGAGGAAACCAAGTTGAAGAGGCTTCCTAGAGAAGGCACTCCAGTGACCACCCCAAGGCTTGCTTCCAAGTAAGCCTCTACCAGAGCAGTGCTCTTCCTTCCTTACATGCGCAGCAGTTGTTTTGCTGGTATTGCTGGGCTTAGAAGGCACCCCGTATGCAGAGAAAGATGCCATTACTATATCCTGAAGATCCTATGAAACTAGGTGTCTCCTGCCTTTATAGCACAGGGCCATGAGGGCTAGAATGCTGCTGCTCTTCTTCAAATGAAAATTGAGATGTTTAGAGTAGTTGGGGTTTGCGCCTGAAGCAGACAGCATGTAGAGCAGCCCACGAGGTATGCTGGCTTTGTTTGGATCTCCAGAAGGGTTGGGACAGCATACGCCACTCTCTCCCCCCTCCCCGCTTTATTCCCTTTACAACAACCATGTGAGGTAAACTAGGCTGAGAGAGCATGAAGTGTTGTCTGAGCCCCACTGAAGTCCAGGCCTCTTAAACCCCAGTCGCCCTGAGAGCAGGGCAGTGCAGTTGTTTGAAGCAAATTTGCTCCGTGTGGAAGGGCTACTAGCTGTAGGCTTAATCCTTGCGGTAAGAAGTCCTGAGTCTTCTTTAGAGCAACTGATTGTCGTCATCAGGTTGTTTCTTTTCCAGGACCTCCCAGCTGCTCCTCTGACACGGGCTCTTACCAGTAGGCGGGAGTTCAGGAAGGCACACTTCATAGCCAAGGAGGAGGAGGAGGAGGAAGAGGAAGAGGAGGAGGAGGAGGTGGTCCTTTGAGGACCAAGCATACCTTGTCACCTTTCCTGTTGCTGTATCTGCTTTCCCAGCACAATGACAACCACCTCCGTCTCTCATTGCCATGGCATCTTCTGGAGGAGTATTTCCTTCCTGGACAGGTAACCATCCCAGTCTGGCACTCAGGGAACCGGCAAGGTCCAGGAGCCAAAGACAACAGGAGAGGACCCCTCGCCCCCCCACACACACGCACGCACCCCATGCCTGGCTCATGGGAAGGCTGCCCAAGTCACGGTTGCTCACAGTGGGAAAGGAGACGCCAGCAGCTGCCAAAGGCAGTGCGAATTCTCCTCAGATTCTTCCCTGCGACTTCTTCTTGGACCTGGAAGTGCATTGCCGACTTGGCCCCTCCTTGTCAACCGGCTGTGTGAACTTAGTCTGCACCTGTCATAATCTGGAGCAGCCTGCGGGCTTTGGGACCACTGGCATTCGGTCGCGCTCATAAACCTTCTCACGGGGCACCGGAGAGATCCTTCGCCAGGATGTGCTGGCTGCAGTTCCCGGCCCCACAGCCCTTCTTTCCAAAGCAGCAGTGATCCTTTTCAGTTCTTGGACTGCTAGTTGTCAGGTGAGCGCTCACGAACCTTTGTAGAAGACTAATTAAAAAGACGGAATGCGACTGTCGTTCACGACCCAAGATAATTCTTTCCTTGGTTTCTGGCCTTCCTTGAGGCACCTGGTTTAGTTGGTTTTCCTTAGCTAAAGGTAGTGGTTGGACAATTCTCAGGTAGTTTTCATTTGTATGCTGCCTTCGAATTTGCAGAAATTAACAAAGAGGAAGCATATGATGAACCCATCATAGGTCAGGGGGTTTCAAATTCTCCCCCTCCAAGGAGAGCAGTCCCAGTTGATCCACCATGGAACCCGAGCATTTCACTGAGCACTGCGAGAAGTGAAGGCCTCAGGAGAGTCCTTGGTGAAATCAAAGGTGCATCAGCTCAGAGTGGCCCAGCCTCAGGCCCTCCAGATGGTTTGGACCCCTTTAAAAATCACTGAATCATCTATTAACTACAGTGTTCCATGAGTTGAACAGTATATTAAAACAGGACACACAAATATGAAAATGCAAAATAACCATGCAGAATTAAACCAGCTACAAAGAAAGAGCTACTACTTGAAAAGGTGGCTTTTAAAATGGGACTACAGTTCTCCTCCTTGTTGACTTTTGGCCATGCTGGTTGGGACTGATGGGTGCTGCAGTCCACACCTCAAGAACAGCAGGCTGGGGGCGGCTGCCTCTCCTTTTCCCCGTCCAGTCCTTGCAGCATGGGGGTTTCCTCACAGGCAGGAGCCAAGAGGCGCCCAAAGGCGTGGGGACTGCAAGACCCCATCCAAGCAAACAGGCAGGACTTTCTTCTCCCCGCCACCCTCAGTCCACACGCATGGAGTGCCAGCATTAGGATCCACACGCTGTGGGGGAACAGGTGGGGGCGGCAGCACAGAGAAACCCAGCACTGTGGCTCGCAGGTGTGGCGCACACCTTCATCTGCCCTCTGCTCGACAGCCAAGATGCGGCAGAACAGGTGCTAGTTGGGCCTGGGTGAGGAGTCTGTTAGCCTTCGAGTTGGTGCTGGATTCCATCAGCCACAGCCAGCATGGCCAATGATCAGGTTTGGGCCTCCCCTCCCAGCAGCAGCCCTCACTCTGAAATCTCTCCTCCCCAGAAGTAGGCATTTAAAAGGCCTCCCTTGGCACCGTTTCTTCTCCCATCCATGTTTTAGAGAACTAGTCTGGTTCAGACAACACTTCAGGCCACGGTGGTTTGTTTTACCATTGTTGTCTGTCATGTTGTCTGTACCTAGTCATGACGTTTTGCCATGATAAATTTGGTCTTTAGAAACCATGGTATGATACAATGGTTTGCCCATGGCTTACCATGCTGTCTGAACCCAGAATCATGGTTTCCATGGTCCCAAAAAGTCCCCTGCAAAGAGTGGTAACTGCAGGAACCACTTCAGCCACCTAGCCTCTCTGTGTGGACCAGTGAGGAAGAGGCAGGTGGCACACGCAGAGAGCACCTTGGGGCTGAATTTCAGCCGCAGTGGTTGATGGGATACCTGCCACAGAAGGCGGGAACCATGATAAACTCCTTGATTTGTCAGACTGTGGTGAAGAAAACACAAACCTGTGAATGCTGCCAACCTAGGAGGTGGTCTCTGCAGCATCCGTCCCCATCTTCTCCTCAGACCTATTTGCACGGAGACCAACCAAAGGACGGATGAGATACTCAAGGCCCTGGAGCTACTGTGACCTGTGGCAAAACTTGGGAGCCGCCGCCCTAGTTGCGCATCGGAGGGAGGGAGGGAGGGAGGTCAGGATTCCGCTTCTGAGCACGAGGTACAAAGAATTTTTGCCATCCATGCTTAGATTTCCATTAGAATTTGTAGATTTTTACGTTGTGCTTGTTTGCATTTCACCATCTACGTTGCAAGCATAAAGTCCAGACATCTCGAGAGACTGCAAAAACACTTTAATAAAATGTAAAACATCTTCAGTTCCTGAGGACAAAACTGGTGTGAGACCAGTGAATTCCATTTACTTACTCTTTGGTAAGGAAGCCCTCGTTGGCCATTCCACAGCCAACCTGGGACTCTCCGTCTGCGCAGAATACAATTTTCACCATTTCTAGACAGCAGAATCACTGAATGGGCTGGCCGGGGATGATAGGAGCTTGAGGGGAACCACGGCATGCCACTGTGTCAGCAACAGCTTAAGTTCTGCCCATCAGACAAGTTCTGGGGCAAGAACAGCACAACCGCAGGTGCACTTGTGAATGCCCTTCAGCTCACTGGGGGTTCAAGCTTCTGGCTGGGAGGCCCAGAAGATGCTGATACGACAGTGCATGCCAAACCAGCAGTACGTGTCCACGCGGAGGCACCAGGCGCTTCTCGTTAACACATTCCGAAAGGCGACCGCACTGCATTATAAAATTACTAAACTGCCTTTGGAAGCCCAAGAATATGGCTGTTTTCTCCTCCACACGGAAAAAGGTTTCTGTGAAGTCACTGTTTTCAGAAACGAAGATGGAGAACCACGGCGTCCAAATAACCATGATCGGTTCTCCCCGCTGAGAGGAACGGAGCCCCCAGGGCACCCCTCTCTGGGGGAAGATGAGCAGCCGCACTTGCAAACGCCGCACGCAGAGCAGGGGATCCACCACAGAGCAGGACTGACCTGGCAGCAGGGCCCCCCACCGCTTCCCTGGGCACCCACCGCTTCCGCCAGGCGTGTGAAGCACTGCCCTGAACTGAGAGCGGGAGGGTGGCCCGTCATCGCATCGGCTGTGAGGGAAGTTTGGCCTTCATGGAGAGCACAGGAGGCGAGCCGGGCTTTGCGAGAGGTAGAAAGGCAAAGTCAGGGTCCGGCGGCTTCTGCATTCTCCGAGGTGGGCGATGGCCGCCGCCGCCACTAACACAGGTAGCAACATACTGATGCGAGGATCAAAACCGTAACGCTGGAAGGCCTCACCGGGGAATGCGTTGCTTGACACGTGGGTGACGGCAAAGGCGCAGAGGGCTGGCGAGGGTAAGGGGCAAGAACGCCTGGACACCCACCCGGCCCCCCACGTGAGGGGCCTGCAGAGCTGGCCAGCCCACCTCACCTGTCACCAGCCCAGAACCCGTTGTGCGGCCTCCCGGAGGCATCACTTCCGGATCCGGCGGGCCTGCTTCTGTTTGCGGTAGATCCTCTTTTTGTCACAGCTGAGGTTGTGGGTGCCTTTCTTGTGGCAGGCGACGTGAACAAGTTTCAAGTTCTCTACAGTGAACAGCAGGCGGTAGAAATATTCCCAGTCCACTTCCCTGCCCTCGCAGCCCTCAATGGCTTTGGCTAATGTTGGGAGAACCATCCGTTTTTTTTCGATTCTGAAACGGAAACAGAAAGCAAGGCTGGAGCCCTAGGAGAATTTGGAAAAGCAAAACTATTTCCCTGAGACCAGAGAAATGCTTATTCCGTGGAAAGTTGGGTAGGAGGACTGTAATAATCCATATCCTGTGGATATTGTGCTGCAAGTGTTTTTAAGCAAGTTTCTAGTCCTCACAGCTTCAAGCAGTCTTTAAAATGTGTGCCTAACACCTAGTTTATATTCCTGGTGGCAGAGGAGAGGTTGGTGGGATTTCCAGCAATCAGAAGGCTTAGTTAAGGCCACTTTGCCAAAACTACCAGAAGCGAGTCAGTTACAAAAACGAAAGGAATATGGGCACCTCTGCAACAGGCTAAACATCACGTCAAACTGCCCAGCTGTGGACTCACCTGACAGTCTCCCTTGGAGACAGAATTGCCCATTTGTGGCTACAGCCTTAGGAAGAACTCAGCTAGTCCGTAAACAGGTATTCCCATTTCTTCTGATGATGGAAACTCCATCAGAATATCGTGACTAGTAATCGCTCCAAAATCTAACTCCCCCGCCATTGCGGCATCTTGCTGCAGAAAGTTCCCTTAAAGGCGCAATCTGCTTCTTCAGACAGAGCAAAGCCACTCCCAGAATTTCCTTCCCAGGATCTCTTTCTCTAAAGGCTTTAAAATATCAAACAAAGGGCTGAATATCCACAATTAAGTCTGGGACATGCCAAGCGATATAAACCCTCCCCTGCAAATGGAAAACGGAGATGGCCGCTCCCTTGCCTCATAACATTTACCCTTTTACACTTCAGGCCGCAAGCGCATGCGTGCCTAGGCAGAGAAAGGGCCTCCGACTCGCAGCGTGGCCAGGGACCGTCCTGTTTTGGCACCTTATGGGCGCGCAGCATTTTCTGGCTGAGGAGCACAATTTAAAATAAATGAGAGGAAAATGCACTGGGTCCACGCCTTGCCTGATTTTACCAGCCCTTTGTTTTCCCTCGCTAGGAAGGCGCTCAGCACCATTGGGTTGTCCCGGTTTCCCCTCCGTGCTCGCGTGTTGCTAACACGGTGCAGGACCATCGGAGGGACACATCAGGGTCCCTCCAAGACGGGGATAGGCCGGCAGGCACGTGCAGTCCCCCACGCCGCACATCCATGTTTTGAAATGGGCTCCGCCCTGGCCACAGCCAAATTTGGCCTTTTGGGCATACCCAGCTGCAGTAGGGAACCAAAAGCTTGCGAGCCATGTGGGGCTCCCCCCCCCCTTGATTTTAGGGCCCCCAAATGCAGCCTGCAGCAGGGCTCCAGGACCTGAAATGGGCCCCTGAGCTCCAGCGCTTGCCTACCCCTGCTCCACGACAAGGGAAAGGTTCATTTGCTCAATCCAAAGGTGACGCCCTGTTGGCTCAGGCCCTGCAACATACATGTGATCGAGGTTCCAGGTGCTGAAAAGGATGCGGCTTTCTTTGTTCCCATAGGGATTGATGGAGTGTCTGCCCTGGCAGCCGGCAGCGTCAAAAGGCCCCTGGGGAGACACAAAAGCAGGCAGCCAATGCTGAAAGCACACTGCGGAGGAGGAGGAGGTGTGGGAACACACAGGTGCTGCCGGTGTGTGCGCGCGCATGCATGCACTATTTTTCTATACTTAGTCCATTTTATTTTGTAAATCCCTGTAAGCAATAAAGTAGCTCATCAGGAAGTGTGCTGGATTTCCAGCTGCAGGGAGTTTTGTTCAGGTGTGGCACATGCAAGGGCTCTTTTACCCAAGGGTCAGCATATCAGGTAGCTTCCCCATCCTGGTGCTTTCCTGATGGTTTGGATTCTAACTCCAGGCATGCTGGCTGGACTGAGGCAACATTCTCTGGAGGTTACCGCCCAGTCCCTACGGAGTGGACATTTCTCTCAGTGACTCTTCAAATGCTTCATAAGTTCCCATCAGCAGATTTTCCTTATTTATTTATTAGATTTATATCCCATCTTTTTTTTTTTTACAAAGAATTCAGCAGCTTACGTAATTCTCTTCCTGCTACTCTCCTTCACCAACAACAACCCTGTGAGGTAGGTTGGGCTGAGAGTGACTGGTCCAAAGTCACCCAGTTGACTCCATGGCTGAGTGGGGACTCAGACCCTGTTCTCTGGGGTCCCCCGTCCTGCAGCCCTAACCACTGCACCACATTGTCTGTCCTTATGGCCACCACCCGTGGGCCTGTCACCATGCAAAAATGGTGGATATGCACACTTTAAAAACAAATTGTTTACATTTTTATTATTTATTTATTTAAGATATTTATATGCCCTCCTGTCCTAATTTCTCAGCCCTCCGTGAGAGAAATTAGGAGGGTGGCTACTCGGAGAAGGGCTTTCTCAGCGGTGGCGCCTAAGTTATGGAATGCGCTCCCCAGAGAGGTCCGCCTGGCGCCGTCGTTATTTGTTTTTCGGCGCCAGGCTAAGACCTTTTTATTTAAGCAACATTTTAAATGCTAAATACAATTGAATTTTATCTGGCCAGGGCGGCTTATTTTATAATGTGTGTTTTAATTAAGATTATTTTATATGGATATTTTAACTTATTGTTTTATCTATGTTGTAAGCCGCCCTGAGGCTTCGGCGAATGGGGCGGCATAAAAATGTTTTAATAAATAAATAAATAAATAAATAAATAAAAGCCTCAAGACGGCTTACATAAAATATAACATAAATAAATTCCCGACCCACACTGGCTACAGTTAAAAACATAGAAAAGACAATATTAAAACTTATTAAAATGTTGCTAGAATAAAAAGGTCTTAACCTGGCGCCGAAAAAAAAATAACGACAGTGCCAGGCGGATTTTTGATTATGACTTTCAAAAATCAAAACAAAACCAGACATAAAATTAAAAAATCAAAACTTAGTTGTCTTACACGGTATTGCATGAATCTGTTCTTGTGAATACATATGTAAGGCTTATGTCTATTTTAGGTAATATGCTACTAATCTTAGTAATAATTATGCATAATTTCAACAAAGGCAATCCAAATATCCCTGTATTTTTTCCACCTGTAAATTTCATCTAAAAAACCACCTGTTCAAAAATGGAAAGCTTCATGAGAGAGAAAGCTTTTTTTTTAATGATGCGAGAGGCCTGCAGTCTTAACCAGTGTAGGCCAGAAGCCTTACCCTTGCAGGGGAAGGGAAACAGTCTTCTGGTGGGTTTTTTTTTTTAATGGGCAAAACCAGTCAGTGGAAATTCTGAAAAAGCAGGTTTGGGTCGAACAGTCGCAGAAACTTCCTAATGGTCAGCAGAACAGATTGCTGAGGGGGGCAGCAGGTTTTCCTTCACTGGGACCAGGTGGCCCTCGATCTCTGAGAGGCTGGACAAGAAGATCTCTGAGGTGCCCTTCACCTCCAGGATTCCGCGGCTGCACACTGCAAGCGCACTTCTGACTGCGCAAGCACTTTCCGCTGGTCCAGAAATGGCACATACTGGCCAGAAGTGACTGGATTTGGGAGGGGTTGTTCTTTGTCTCACACAGGAACACTCTGTGCAAGGACTCCTTTTGTAGCTCTCCCCACAGCACACAGAGCATTGCTTTTCCTGGGAATCAAAGCTTTGTGCACCTTAAAACTTACCTGACAAGAGAACCAGCCCTCAGGTGTGCAAAGGCAGACCTTCTTGCTCTCACTTCTGTCGAAATAGCAGCCATTGTACCTCTCCAGCTTCAACTTCTCCAGCATTGTTTGCACAATCTGTTTGAATTTTGCTTGGACGGGAGGGTGGATGGCCGAAGCGTAGCTGCTGACCTTTGGGGAAACAAAGGCAGGTACTGAGTGCTGGGAGGTTCCAGCCCCCTGCACTGCCCTAAGCCAGCATGCGCCCACCCTCTGCCCTCCAGGGCCCCTGGGAAGCCCCCAGGATTGCTGACTTCCAACAGCGCCGGCTGGGAGCTGAAGTCCAAAACATCAGGGTGAAAAGGCTGTCCTAGCAGGCCTGCAAGCTGGCTTTTAAGAGCTTGACTGGGGCATCAGACTTGTAACCCGAACACAATGCCACAAGTGCCAAGTCCTCCACGCAGGAAAACGACACCAAAGGCATCGATACAAGATGGGGAATACATGGCTCAACAGAACTGAAAAAAGAAAAAGACCTTGGAGTAATTGTGGTCAATAGGCTAAACATGAGCCAACGATGCGATGCAGCTGCCAAGGGGGCAAATGCTATTTTGGGGTGCATTAGCAGAAGCATTACTTCCAAATCACAAGTAGTAGTAGTTCCCCTATACTCCTCACTAGTCTGACCTCGCCTGGAGCACTGTGTCCACTTCTGGGCATCAAGATTTAAGAAAGATGCAGGCAAATTAGAAAGGGCCCAGGGGAGGGCAACAAAAATGACCCAGAGTATGGAAACCATGCCCTGTGAGGAGGGACTGAGAGAACTGGGCATGTTCAGCCTTGAGAAGGGAAGGCTGAGGGGGGACATGAGATCCTTCTAGAAGGACCTCGAAGGCTGTCTCAAAGAGGAAGGTCAAGGTCTCTTCTTGCTGACAGCAGAGTGTAGGACACGGAAGAATCAAGTCAAGTTGCGACAACTCAGATTCAGGCTGGACATCAGGAAAAGCTTCCTCGCTGTCAGAGCAGCACGACAGTGGGACCAGCTGCCTAGAGAGGTGGGGGGCTCTCCCACACTGGAGACAATCAAGGCAAAACTGGGCAGCCACCTGAGTGGGGTGGTGGGACTTGGTGTCCTGCAACAGCAGCGGGGTGGACCCAATGGCCTTCATGGCCCCTTCCAACTAAACTATTCTATGAATCCATGAAATCAAGTCATCAATAAAGGCAACCAAAATCAGAACAAACTGTTCCCTTGGATAAGAAATCGGACTCCCCAAAGCCTTGCTGAGAAAGAACTCCCTTGGCCAAGCTTCAGGCCAGCAGGGATGAGGAAACAGAGCAAGCTTCTCCAGGGAGGTCTTTCTGGGGGGGGGGGTGCCCCCCCAGCAAGGCTCCATCCTGGAGAAGCACCTGCCCTATTCCAGATGCTAAAGAAACTCAGAAAAACAACTGTCATGGAAGATCACAAAGGTTCTGAAGTGCAGGAATCAGATTCGCTGCAGCTCCTTGTCTCCTCAAGGAGCAAATAGCAACGGATCGACGTACAGACCGGAACAGCCAAAAGGGAGCCTTGAGCCACGCGACCGTTTAAAGCCTTCCAAACACAAGGCTGAAGCAAACTGGCAGTGGCACCAGCCCTTGGCGCCAAGAGCATTACCTCTTGCACGTAAGCACGGATCCGGCTCTCACAGCTGTAGCGCATATAACTGGACTTCGTCTTGAAGCGAGATTCGACCCCTAGAAGAGACAGACATGCCATCAGTCACCCTCAGACTTCAGCACCCCTGCTCTAGACCAGAGTTCCTCAGCAGAGATGGAGACTCTTCCAAACTCTGAGAGCAGGAGAGACCCAGCTTGAGCTCCTTCAAGTCTCTAGTCCTTATGGAGGTCATTCCTGAAGTCCTGACAAACTGGAACACGAGGGGTGCCTCTGGTACTTGCCTTCAAACCAGCTCTCATCTTCATCTCTGGTTTCTGCAGAAATATTTTCACTGAGATTCTGAATAAGGTCTGCCAGCAGCTTCTGCCTCCCAGGGGCTTCCTCAGAGGAAAGCAGTCCCCGAGCCGCTTGAATAACGGCGTCCGCCTGGGTGGAAAACGCGTGAAGAAAGCGCTGGATCTCACTCACATCTGCAGAATGGGGGGGTAGGGAGGGATTCAAGATGGCAGAGTTTTTAATTATTGCTTTATTTATTAGATCTGTATCTCGCCTTTTTTCTTGTAAGGAACTCAACATGGCTTGCATCGTTCTCCTCCTCCTGCTTAGTCGTATCACCAAAAAACAACCCTGTGAGGCAGGCTGGGCTGAGAGTCTGTGACTGGCCCAAAGGTACCCAACTGGCTCCATGGCTGAGCTGGATCGCCTGAGCCCCAGCACATGACACCACAGTGGCTCTCTATTATTATTCAGCAACAGCTATGATTATAATTAGCAATAGATCCAAAGCATTTCAGGTAAATGTTATTTTTAATAACATTTCGCTTGTTAACTTGTTCTTCAATAGGGCTACTGGGGAAAAATGGCATTTTCATTCTGCTGTGCTTCATGTTTCTATAAACTGTCGTGAACAGCCCAGAGGGACTCAACTGTTGGGCAGTGTAGAAATGAAATGAATTAATAAATAATCTAGCCATAATCCTTCCAACAACCCCGTAACAGAAATCAGAATGATGTCCTTTAGACAGAGAGCAGGCGGATTTCCCGTGTGGGCACGTTCATGGCGCAGGTGACAGTCAAACTGGAACCAACCCACTCCTCAGTTCGGACTCCAAACCACTGCGCTGCACCAGCAATATGATTTTTTGAAAATTAAGTAAGTGAATTTCACTGGGACACAGCAGGCGCCCATCACAAGAAAACACCTCAAGTCAAGTCTAAAACATGTTTGTGCTTTCCACACACCTGCAGCTCACCCCTTCCTGCTCAGAAGTAGATCCTACAGAATCTTTTCCATCTTTGCCTTTAAGGCCACAATCCCATGCTAGGTGAGAGAGAACTTCCCTGCAGTTCCCAGAATACTCAGCCATCACGGCTGGCTGGCAAATGCTAGAAGTTACGCAGACAGAAAGGAGTCCTGCACGCATTGCATTGCAACTTAAATCCCCTTTAAACAAGTAACAGAAGAAAATACCTAGAATTCAGCCCACTTGTGCTAAATTAGAAAGAGGGTCCTTGTCATTTTGAGCTGACCTTCCACTGGCTACTGCGCAGCGATGCCGTGGCATGATCACGAATATTCTGACAAATGGGAGGGCTCACGGGAAGGAAACCTGAACATGTAGAGCTGATGGGTACCTCCGAGATGGCAGAGAAGCACAGGCCACTGAAGGGGAAGGACTGGATGCTATCGCTAGAAAAAGGCCGGAGGACGTCTGCGCCCTCTTCCGGCAGTATGGCCCCGGTAACAATTTGGTGTCATTCCTGACGAGAACCGTGAACCATTTGCAAGTAACAGGACAGAGAAAACCCTCTGGCGTACTTACACCCATGCCAGTCCTCTCCTGGGGCTAACAAGACCAGCTCTGAATTCTCTGGAATTTTCTGGAAATAGTCTTCCGTCACCTCTGTGCCGTCCTCGTACAGACACAACCGAGAGCCAGGAAGAGGCAGCTGTTGGGGGAGTCACGCACGGAGTCAGGTGCTGGGAAGACCCCGGGCTCATCAGAAGTGGGCCCACCGACCTGCCCGACAGACCACCTTAACTGAGAGCACGGTGGCACCCTGCAAGTTTCGCTCTGAACCGGGGGTGGCAAGCCGCAGGCCCCCCCGGCTTCCCAGGTGGCCCTCCATGGGTCTCCCCAGGGCTCCATCCCCCTTTTCTCCATGCTGCCTCCCACCCTTTACACAGCTTCCCCCTGCTTCTAGAGGTTGAAACGCCCCTCCTAAGCCTTTGTTTCTGGCAGGAAGAACCGGAAGCTGCAGTGGGCTGCCATCGGTGGTGTACCGGCCCCAGCCCTTTGGCCTTCGGCTCCCCCTCCATGGGGGCGCAGGCCCCAAGAACTCCGCCAAAGCCCTTGGGCTGTAGGGGAGCCCCTAGCTCTGCTCTGAGCCACATCTGCAGAAGCAATGTCGGAACCAGTGCTTTTTTTGTCATAGAACGCACCGCAACAGAGTTCCGGCACCTTTTTTCGACAGATTTTCCAAGTTTTAAAAGTAACTTTTGAAAATTTGATGTTTGGTCCACACGGATTTGAATCGCCCTGTAAAGCATAGCAGGTTGGGGGCAAAATCATTAAAACGGTGCATGCGGGCTGCTTGTGTGTCGAAGCCGATGCATCCATATTTCGTCTGCGCTGGTTGTGATGGTGCTGCTCAGCTTGTGATTGGTCATGTGGTCACACGATGAGTGTTTACTGCGGGTGGCAACTGTTACGTTTCGTTACACAACTGATGTGTGTGGGTGTGTGTACTGTAATTGACTACGTGCAAAAGGTAAATAATTTCATGAGTTCCAGCACCTTTTTTCTTACAAAAAAAGCACTAGTTGGAACTGATGGCCAGAGGTCAGTAGTAAAACGAGTTTTTTCGGTGCCAGCTTGCAGGGTGAGCCCAAAGGTCCAAGGGAAAGGTTCCTGCTGCATCTCTGGACCGCCTCTCCCAGCCGGTGCAAATAATTCTGAGCTGCACTGCATAACGGATGGTAATGGGCGATTGCAATGGCTACCAGTTGCTCCCCAGGCCCAATTCAAGGTGCTTGCTATGACAAAGTCCTAAATAGCTTAGGGCCTGGCTACCTGAAGGTCCATCTCCTCCCATATGAACCTGCCCATCCCTTAAGATCAGATCAAGAGGCCCTATTAAAGTATTTATTGTTTATTTACTGTTATATGTATTTATACCTTTTATTGTAAGCCACCTGGAGACCTTTGGGTAGTAGGCGACTGATAAATGGAAATAGCGCACCTGCCTAAGCGTGCACAAGGCTGCATCGCAACAACCTTGCAAAACGTGGCTCGGGACAAGCTGGGCAACCTTTCCGGGCCCTGGGCCTGATCGCGAAGGGTCTCGGAGATGCAGCAGCGTGCAGAACTGAGGTCCCGTCGTGGCATTTTCTGCCTGGCGTAAAAAGCAGCTCAGTTCCGTGCCCGCTCTCCCAGGAGTGAAGCCCAGCGTCCTGCCTGCGCGGCCAGCAAAAGCGCACCCTCGGGATAATTAAATCGGTGCTGAAGCTCTCTGTTGCACGCAATGGATAAAAACCATGATCAGAATGTTTCTACAGGAGAGGAATGTGTACAAGATGCCGCGCTGGAGGAAAAACGGGAGCCGATCCGCTTCGCCGCGTTTGCACGAGCGGCGCCGCTTCGGCCTGAGCGGCGGCGGTGCCGGGAACGGTCCGTGCTGTGCAAGGGCTGCGGGCAAGGCGAGCCACGCACCGGCACAGGCGCTGGGGAGGCTCGCGGTCACGGCCAAGGCCGCCGCTCCTGCGGAGACGCGGCGGGAGCCTCCTCCGCGAGGGCAGCTCCGCCGTCCATTAAGACCCGCGCTCAGGCTCCTGCAGACAGGCCCCCTGGGGGCGGGGGGAGCTCATTGGGGCTGCCACCCAGCATTTAGCAGTTTTAAATCTATTAGAATTAAATTTATTTGCATAATAAATTGCGTTTTTTACTCGGGTTCTACAGTTCCCGGCCGGCGCGACCAGCAGCAACCGCAGCAGGGACACCCCCCCGCCCCTGCTTTGCTCCCAAGCACGCGCGCGCCCCCGCCCCCCGCCCGGCCTCCCGGCCATGCAGTACCGTGCCGCGCCGCCAGGGGGCGAAGGCCGCGCGAACTCGGCACTGCGCGCCCCCAGCCCACCTGCAGGAGGAGGCAAGCCTTGGAAAGCAACTCCCTCAGGCCCCTCGCCGCCACCCCGTATTTTCGGCCCGCGCTGGGTCGGCGGATTTTGAACCCCTTGGGCGCCATAGCGCCGCCAGCGAGACTCGAACCCATGTCGATCGATGCCGTCCTCAGCCTGACAGTCGCGGGCGCTTATTGGTCGCTGGTGGGGTCCATCAAAAGGAGGCACCGCCTCCGTGGGCTTAAAGGAACAGTGCCTCATTTTTAGTGTTCAGTATTTATTCCGGTCATGAAGAAGGAAAAGCTGAAAAAAATATATATTTCTTTACTCTCTGTTTGGCGGCGCGGCACATTTGTATCTTACGGAGACGCCTAGCTTTTTTGCCCGTTTTCATTTTCTAAGCGCATGCGTAGAAGCTGGATTTTGTCGCTTCCGAGAGAAACCTTTCCGGAGTCTTGAGTGCGCAAGCTCAGGAAATCCTTGCTGTCGCCCTGTTGGCGCATGCGTACTAAGCCATTCCGGAAACAAGCAGTACCAAAGGACAAGGGCAAAGAAAAGTCCGCACCCAGCTGCACGTAGAGATATAACATGTAGAGTGATATATCCTCAACCTTGGAATTGTCAGTGGCAGTCAAAAGACGGAGTTTTGTTTTCCATATACAAGAATAAAATTAAGTGGTCATCTAACTGCCTGGTTAAGGCAAATTAAGGGTATAGTAGTGGAAGCCAATGTAGAGTAACAGTGTGGCAGCAACTGGAGAGCCTCAGACAAAATCTATGAGGCTTACTGGCTAGGTAGCTTAACCTGCTTCACAAGGTTATTACGATTAAAAAAAATGGAAGCAGGAAAGAACTGCCCAAACCACTGTGAACTTCGTGGTGGGCTTTCACCTCACCTCCTAGGAAGTGAGAGTGACTTGCACATTCTAGATTTGTCCAATACTTTCTGCAAGTGTCTACCCGCAAGGAAAAATAAGGAGCAACAAGATGGATCCACGCTCTTCCTAACCCTTTTGCTGTTCTACACATTGTCAGTCTCCTTATCAATGGCGGGAATGGACACTCGGACCCGCAGGGAAGACTGAATCGCCTTGAACCCCAGCAGTTTTAATGCTGAGTTCACTTAGGCCCCTTGCAGTTTACTTAGAACACCGGGTAGTGGTCCTCAAGCCAGCTACAAGGTTTTAGAACATACACAGAGGGTTTTATAGGTTCCGAGTCACATGTACAAGCAGGGCAGGTGGTGATGAAATAAGGGGTATACAGTGAAAAAGAATGTGAGAGCTCTGCAGAGGAGATTTAATACAATAGCATTGATTACAAGAGATTGACTTAACGATTCAGGAAGGCAAGGATTATTGTAACTCTTAGCTGTGAGTCTGAGCATGCAAATTATGGTGATTGCAGTGACACTTTAAAAAAACTTCTCTGGCCTTATAGGTTTTGTTGCTGTTAGCACAAGAATAGATGCTCTCAGGCTGTGAGTTCCAGTCTCTTAAAGTAACAGCAGTGCTAAAAGGTAACCTGGCCTGGAATTCTGCTACTTTCTGAGAAAGGAGCACAGGTTTGATTTTATAACAAAGGCACATATAAGCAACCTTTTTCTACCAGGTTTTACTCACAATTTCCCAATAATATAAAGAGTTTTCATGTTTTCTGTTTTTAAAACATTATTTTTAAAATGAAAAGTAATGTTTTAAAATGAAAAATGGAATGCACTGATGCCATATTGCAGCATGAAGAGGGAGGCAGCTGCAGCTGACAGAAAATGGTTTATGACAGTCCTGCAGGAGTGTCCACCAGAAGCAGGAGTGATGCTGGAAAGCTGGCTTAAATTTTCAGCCTAAAAAATTACCTTACCGAGCCTCAAAGATCATTCTCCTTAAATTACCCCCATCCCAACCCAAAACTGCGGCCAGTTTCTCAATATTCTTACATTCCATCTCTTAATGCCTGTTTAGACAGAAATGACAGCTACGTTGGAAGCTGTAGACCTTTCTTCTATCTAAACATATAAAGAATTGCAGTCTAAGTTCACCAAAAATGAAACTATGATTTCATATGAAAGACCCAACTCGACATATCGCAAACCGCACGTCTAATTGCTACGTTTTACTTTCTCTGTATATTCTTATAGTCCCCCGGAGATAAGGAGCAGAAAGTGGGCGGGGAAGCACCATAGATGAAGGGAAGCCTAGAGCGACAGAGTCTGGCGGCGATCCCCTCCTTACCGGAAGTTAGGCTTCCGTACGTTGGCTGCTCTAGGCAAGGAATTGTTTTGTTCCTTCCGCTTCCTGTCACTACGCCGCTCTGAAGGCGCTTGCGCAGTAGTATCCAAGCGGTTGCTAGGGGAGCAGTGGCCTTAGTGATGGAGCCGGAATGAAGTAGGTAGGAGGGATGGATGATGGAAGAGCGAGAGAGAGGCCGAGAAGGGGGAACAGGGAAGGGGGGGCGCTTTCCCCTCCCCAGCTGCCCACGATGGGGGAGGAGTGCCTGCGCCGCCTTGCTCTGCGCAAACAGCGCCCCTCCCCCATCCTTAACGTGGGCGAAATTGAGGCCAAGCGGGCGGGGCCATAATCGGGGGTCGTGGTGGGGGCGGAGAGAAGCGACCTTCTCCCATCGAATGAAGCGCAAGCCCTTATTTCAGGCTTTCCCCAGATCTGATCGGCCGCCCTCCAAGTCTTGGGAGTCCAACTCCCATCATCCCCAGGCAGTATGACCAGTGGTCGGAGTGGCGATTGTTGAAGCCCCAGAACATCTGGAGGGCCACGGAAGGCTTCTTTATATATATAAGTTCACATATTGTCTTCTGTATTTTCTCAGAAGTCCTGTTGAGTTAAATGGGACTCGCTGCCAAGTAAGTAGGTCCTGGATTGCAGCCTACGGACACAGCCGTAAGCAATTTACCCAGAAAATGCCTGTAACGCCCATTAGCCTCAGCCAGCATCAGCAGGGGTCAGAGTGATGGGAACTGTGGTCCTGAGGCACCTGGAGGACCAGCAGGTTGGGCCAGCCTAATTTGTGCACACACTGCATGATTAATGCCGCGCCCTGTCTATTTCCACTCCAGAGTAAAGCCCCACTGATATTGTTCTTTTTTTGCCTGTCAAAACTTGCATGGAATTGCACTTTAATTTGTGAAAGTGTTTGCTACAAGGCATAGCTATTCTGGTCCTTTGGTTGATAGATTGCTTTCAAAACATCTTCTGTTTGTATGGTCAGTGTTTGACAAATGAGTACATGAAAAACGAAGAGGAAGAGCCCTGCTCTGCCCAGAGCAACTATCTCAGCTTCTCTCACTGCCAGGGACTGACAAAATTGCCTACTAGTGTGGAGGTGCCTGTAGTTCCCCATCCTGGGGTAGGCAAGAGCCCCCATCTCTTACGGTGTGTGGGGAGGATGAGGGCTAGTGTTAGGGAGAATTCATAGAGCAGCAAGGGGAGGAAAGTGAGTGAGTGCGGAGCGATGGGAATCCCCTGAGCAACCTGTGACCCTCCAGGTGTTTTGGCACAACATTTTCACCATCCCTAGTCAGCAGGGCCCCTGATGGGGGCTGATGGCAGTTGTGGGCCAAAGTATCTGGAGGAACACAGGCTGCCCGTCCTTGAATTAAACAAATGCCACCTTATAAGAGGTATAAGCAAAGAGGAGACTAGCCTGTTGTCCCTTTTCTGCTGACTGGGACTGGATGGAAGCCCCTGCCCCAACCCCCATTTGTATAACATCCAGTAGTTGAAAGATTCCGCCCCTTTCCTACAACGAGAGATGCCCCCCACCCTTCCTTAGCACCCGAGAAGCCCATTGTGGCTTTAGGTTGGGTTTAAAGCATGATTAGGCAAATCTGTCCTTGGAAGTAGATAAAAACTTGAGTCCTGCTAATTCTGAAACAAGGACCTATGAATGACAGCCTCCCCCAACCTGGAGCTTTCTAAATGTACTGAATATAGTTCCCATAATCCCGCAGCCAGCATAACATGTCTGGGATTGGGGTAGGGTGAAAATTGCAGATTCAAAGGGCACCAAGTTGGGTAAGGCTGATTTATGGCCTATTTCTCATCGGGCATGAAGATTGTGGTCACTCTCATGCCTTGTGTGTTGTGTTTGCTGGTTTGTTTGAGAGGGGAGTTGTTTTGATCCCAGTATCTGCTCCTTGGAAATCATGAATGTAGAAGACAAGACTGTCAGTGGCTACTAGTTCCCATAGCTGTATGCTACCAGTACTATGCCTGTGTAGACCAGGTGCTGGGGAACATGGGCAACAGGGTGCTGTTGCATCCATGCCCTACCTACCTCTGGGTTTCCTGCTTGGCGACTGTGTGAACAGAATGCTGGATTAGAACAAGAGAGCAGGAAACCTCATTTTCAGGAACAATTGCTGCCACTGGATTTTGATGGGAAATACAGTGACCAGAGTGCAGGCCATAGAGGTGGTCTGTTGCCCGCTCCCCCTGCAGTCCATCTAAGTTGCTCGCCTCTGGACTAGATGGGCTTTTGGTCTGATGCAGCTGCACTGCTCTCGTGTTATTAATTGTGCCAGTAACCACTGCAGTCTTTACTTTTTAGAAATCTGTAATTTTGCAAAACACACCGTGTGTCCTAAAAGAACACTGGGCTGCTTTTCTTTCTCCACCAGTTAGTTCAAGAGGGCAGGATGCCGCACAAGATTGGGTTTATTGTTATAAGTTCATCAGGACACGAGGATGGCTTCAGTGCAAAAGAACTGATGGTCCACGCACCAACCGTCAACGGATGGAGGTCACCAAGGTACTGTAAGTGAAAGAAATTTTGGGGCGGGTTTATCCTGTTGTGGATACTGGCAGGGTCATGTCCCTGCAGTGGCATCTGTAAGTGGTCATGTAGGATGGGAATTACAGAAGTTCTGGTCCAGCATACCTGAACTTCGGGGAAGGCGGCTTTGCAGTCTTCTCCCAGTCACCGTTCTCCTTTGCTGGCTCTACTACAACCCCCAACTGCATCTCCTGACAGTGTGGTATAGTGGTTAAGAGCATGGGACTGGGACTCAGAGGATCTGGGTTCGAGTCCCCACTCGGCCATGGAGCCAACTGGGTGACTATTGGGCCAGTCACAGTCTCTCAGCCCAACCTACCTCACAGGGTTGTTGTTGCGGGGTTAAGATGGAGGAGGAGAGATAATGTAAGCTGCCTTGAGCCCTTTGTAGGAAAAAGGCAGGATATAAATCGAAAAAATAATGAAATAATAATAAAATAATAGTTTTGGTAGGCACAGACCATCAGTACATGTTCATTGCTCATTGGAAGACCCGCCTCTTCTCCCTGGTCTTCTCTTAAATATAGACCATCAGTGGTAATATGTAGGGCTTGTTTCTGTTGATTGTAATCAGCAAACTATTTTTATGGATTTTATTGAAACATTTTAATGGGTTTAAAAAAAAACATTTCCACTTTAGGTGGCTTTTATCTTGTACTCCACTTGACAGTGTACTGCCCTTAACAGTGGCCTAGGAATAATTTTTGATGGATGGATAGCTAGGCAACTAAAAAGATGTGTGCTCTAGAACTGTTGAAAGCCATTCAGCCAGCTGGTCCTCAGTGACCATTTGCAGGCAATCTCTTCCAGCAAAAGTTGGCAGTTGCTTCACTTTGACCTGCAAAAGCATTTTCTGGAGCGTTCTTCTCACCTGAAGGCATTACCATTGTTGGATATTCATCAAAATAATATGTACATCATGTTTTTTATAGGAAACCATTGATACCTTTTCCAAGATGGTGCTTTGTTCTTGACCAGTTGTCTCCAACTTCTTGTTTCTGGAGTTAATATGTAGACAGTTAAATGAGGAGACATTCTGGGACTTGCAAGTGGGAAATGAGTATAAGGAGTATAACTCCTTTAAGCCTGGGCTCAATTGGATTATCTTGATCAAGTTATAATTTGTATGGTAGCCTGCTTAACAGGGCTGTTTTGTTTGCAAATGTATAAGCAGTTTTGCACAGTATTTTTCTTTCATTCCATCTCTGTTTCTTTGTGAAATCCTCACATGAGAAATAAGTTCAGTACAGTAGTGCATTTAGTTAACAGAATTAAAAGCAAAGTCTGTCTCTCTGCATACTCCTAACTGATTATCGTGTTCAACATGCAGCATAAAGAAGCAAATTCTGATTTGGGAAGCTTACTTCTTTCGTTCCAGACTCTGCCAGTATCCCCAGGAAATCGTCCTTCAGATGGTGGAGCGATGCAGAATTCGGAAGCTGCAGTTGCTGGCACACCAGTATATGATCTCCAGCAAAATTGAATTCTATATCAGCGAAAACCTGCCCGAGTACTTTGCACCGTACAAGTCAGAAAGGTTCCGACGGCTGGGGTGAGCATTTGGACGTTAGTTGGGACCTAGCTGTGGTGAGCTGTTCTTGTGATGCTCATTCTAAGCTGTAAGCACTGAGGGATTTTGTGAATTTGCAATTGAACACTTTCCGTATTGTGTTGTTTCTATCACTGTATTATTGTTCTATGGTTTATATTGATTTTGCAATGTACAAAACCCCAATAGAACAGGTCTTTTCCTGTTACAAATATAATGAAAAATATAGTACAATATAATGTATTCCACCGTTTTTCCCCTAAGAAACCCAAGGCAGCTGGAGTCACTTTAAGGCTGGAGCTCCCCCAGCCCTCGTGCAAGTCACTTTTTGCTGTGGGAAACAATTGGTAATGTTTATTGTTGTTATTAGTGGGGCACATAATGCATCCCCTTCCTCGTTCATTTGAATCAGATAAAGCTCCACCCTTGGAGCTGGGAATCAGAACTCTGATCTGCTGCTCCCACAGCATGAACGGTGCTAGCTGCTCTCTGATGTCAGGAAAGCGGCCTCCGAGCGCAGCTGAAGGGGGCACCTCGGGGCTGGAGCGGAAGGCCTTGGAGCAGCCAGGGCATGAGGCGTCCTGCAGCCGCTCCAGGCTCTTTCCCTTCCAAAGCAGCACTGCTGGATGGCGGAGTGGGAGGAGCAGGGAAGGGAAGGTTGCCTGCAGCGCTTCCTGCTCTGCACTGGACGTGCAGGAGCCTCGGCATTCAGCAGCCCCTGCTCCTCTAGCCAAAGGAAATGTTGGCTGATGGAGAGCATAACCCGAGCGGTGTTCTGTGCGTTGCCCCAGCCAGGCAGGCCTCAGCACAGGTGTTTCCAGGCTGCTTTGCCTAGGATAGTGCATGAAGGTGTCTGCAACGGAAAAGGCCATTTCTACCGTAGCACCTTAGAGGTGCTAGCAGCATGGAATAGACCGAATGTGTTTGTACTCTTTTTGTTCTACTCCACAGCCACCCTGCCTGCCCCCAGAAGACCGTTCCTAGGGCAATTTCATGCAGTCAAAAAAAAACAAACCAGCCAACCCATGGGATCTTCCCACACGCTTACAATTTAAAAATGCCAAAAGGGCTTTAGATGATTTAATGTATGTTCACATGTTCTGTCTTCCTTGTAAACTGCCTTTAGATTTATTGAGTGAGAAGGAGTATATAAATATTACTACTAATAGCCACAGCCTTGTAATGTCAGGGTCTGTTTATATGTAACATTTCCTCCTCTCTCCCCACCCCACCCCTGCTTCCCAGTTATGTGTCTCTCTCAGATAACGAGAAGACTGGCTACAAAGCTCGAGAACTGAAATCGGTTTACGTGGATGCTGTTGGCCAGTACCTAAAACTGACATTCCACAAAAACTATGTCAATAGATACAACTTGTACAGCCAGGTAAGCCACCTGGAAATGTTGCAGGAGGTGCTAGATGCAGGTGGTTCACCTGTCCAAGGCATGGCTTCCATGGAGCATTCCACCCTGCTTTGCATTCCAGGTCAAGCTGCGTTGCACACCCCTTGAGGCTGACGCTTGCTCTAGGCTGCTTATGTATGTAAGCAAGACCTCCCCTGCCCGCACCACACCTATTCAGCAAGGCCTTTAGTGCTCGCCTGACCCACAAAGCTGCCATCCGGAATTTTCTGGCGTGGCCTTTTCTTTGCTCGCTTCACCATCAACCTGAGGAGACCTTCATGATCAGGGCCGCATTTCGAAGGACTTGTGGCTTGTCAAAAACAGGGCTGTTTTCATAGGATGAAAACAACACAATGGCACCCGTCCTTTCCTTGTCGGATGATCTAGCTTTGTACAATTTTACTGGTTTTTGGTGAGGCAGTTTGGGTGTAGGCCTTACAGAAAGGTGGGGCATACATTGTAAACAAGCCGTCCAGAGACTTTTTTTTAGTAATGGGCGGCATAGAAAAAGTTTAAAAAATAAAATAAAATGAATATGACCATATGAAATAGGTTAACTGGAGGAAGCTACATGAACGGGGAGCAAAAAATAAAAACGAGCGAGTGAGCATAGTTTGGAAATTCTGGCAATCCACATTTTTAATGTTATGCATCTCCAGTATACTTCATTGTTGGAAAATTCAGAAAAGGAAAAAGTTCTTGAACATGTTTGTTAATGTATGTATTTTTGCTGGTGCTGTGCATGGAGGGGAGGGAAATACTGACTGGAATCATTACTGAACCGTTTCCTTCCCTGTGGATTGTCCGCCAATCACTACAAGGCAGATTCTTCTGTTTTGAGGAAGGCTTTCACTATCCTTTCCCCGGGTAAAATCAAAATGAATTCCACAAAATAGTTAAGGATGGTAGAATTATTCTACATAAGAACTGTAAGTGAAAAATTGGGGTTCTTTTGCATGGCTAATTCTTCTCACAAAGGCAAGCTTGCCTTGGTGTGGAAGTTGATCTATTCTTTTTTTAACCTCAGGAGTGCAAAGAACCTTGCTCCTCTCTCTCTTCATTTCTCATTCTTTATTTTTAGGTGGCTCTTGTAGCAATAAACATCATTGGTGAGCCTGCAGACCTCAGCAATGAGAGTACTCACGTAAGTGCGTGAACACAGGGGCGCTTGATCCTGGCTTGGCATCCCAGCGCAAGCTGCCACTTTAACTCAGGATGGCAGGAATAGATCCTTTTATAGGAAGGGAGTGGGCCGGCCTGGAACTCCTTGACTGCGCCTTTGTGTAGTTCCACCTACCCGAGCCTGGAGGCATCCCAGCTTGTAGTGCAGCTCCCCTAATCCCTGGCCAAGCGGACTGGGATGCTGGTGCTCCTCAAGGAGAAGCTCCATTGTGGCAGACCAGGGCATCTTCCCCAGCCACTCCCAGCCTTCCCCGGTGCCGGCATCTGCCAAGGGCATCCGTGTATTCGCAGACATGCCCTTGGCTGCTACAGCACAACGGGGAGGCCCATGATCTGAGCATGCTCAGCAGAACAGGACCCAGGATCCTTTGCAGTGCGCAGGGATTCTGTGAGCGTGAGGGCAGACGTCATGCAAGTAACCAGTGTTCTAAGTGGCTGCTCAGTGTTCGTAGAGCAAACTGTGTGCCGTTCCCTCGCTCTTTTGACAGTCTTCCAGGGAGAAGCTGATTGACCACTACCTTCGGAACAACCCTGATGACTCAGCCTTAGATGGAACCACCAGCGGGTAAGCAGGTCCCCTTGTCCTTGTGGCCGCGCTTGCACCCCCGCCCCCAAGCGTGCATTTGCTGGGAACGTGCCACATCGTAGCACAACTTCCCTTGCCGCTGACTTTCCCAGGAAGCCAGATTCCATTTCCCCCCTGGACGACCTGGCGTTCGACATGTACCAAGACCCAGAGGTGGCCCAAATAATCCGTAAACTGGATGAGAGAAAGCACGAAGCAGTGCGCCAGGAACATTACGATCACGCCAAGAAACTCAAGCAAGCCATTGCAGACCTGCAGAAGGTAACGCGAAGCTGTGGCGAGGCAGCCTCCCCCCCGGCCCCTGGGGAAGGGCTCGCCGGTGCAGCAGAGCAGCAGTGAGCTCTGTGGACTTTGCCGTGGGGGACCCAGTGATTCTGGGAGGAAAGGGAGGCGGTGTCCTAGGAGGGATGATTTGAAGCACCATCGCGTAGATCATCGCGTAGCAATAGGGTGGATCAGTGCCCCCTGCCGCTCTGGTTCTTTGGCTTGGCAAGTCCAAATTTCCCAGAGTTCCAGTAGACGGGGAAATGAAGCCTGAAAGAGATTCAGTTCAGAAAGTATTCCGCATTATGACGAGTGATCATTCACAGTTCAGTTGTTGCCGATAACAGAAACAGCACAGCAGTAAGTAAGCCGATTAACAGATGCATTGTAAGAAAAATCCTTCATCCTAATTCAGGCCTCTGGCAATAAACTTAATCAGGAAGGTTGATTCTGTTGCCAGAGGCTTGTATTTAATTTTCCTGAGACCTCACTGTTTGCAATTCATTTTCCCCATCCCCACTGTATATAAATATATGTATGTAATTCCGCATAATATAAATTGTTCTTGTATCAGATGGCAAGCTATTGTCAAAGAAAGACAAGATTTCGTTGCACCGGAATAGTCTTTCAAGTGCCACAGATTCTTTGTTGTCTTGCCTACAACAAGGCAAGTAGCTGTGATGTTCCGTGGCAGCAAGAGCAGTCCTCACCTTGGTCACTGCTGGAGTCGCTCCATAGCCGAAAAAGAAGCCTTTTTTCTAAACTGGAGAAAGTTGGTTAAGGGGTATGAGTGATGTTTGTTTCTTGTTTTGATTAGTCCTTTCACATTCTGCAGTAGGACCCTTGCTGTCTACGGAACGGTCGGCATAGGCACCACCCTGTGGCATCTTCAGGACTCTCAGATGTTGTGTGGCCGAGGTTTTCACATCAGCCACCCATCCTTCATGCCCCTGACGGGATGGTGCCTGGCCCACGACGGCTTATGTTAGTCTCTGAGGTGTCACAAGGCCCTTGGTTGTCCTTGTGTTTAGTCCTAACCACAGAAGCCCTCCTAGGGAAGGAGGAAAGCTAAAGCAAGAGCAAGGGGAAGCAGGAAGCAAATGGCCCTCGGCACCCTAAATTAATTTCCTCTCGTTTAGAAAAGGGTGGGACAGGGGCTTCTCCAGCTTGGGGGCTTATCTGGGAGTGGGGAAAACACCATGGAACTCCGCAGCCTTCCCTGTCTCGGCACTTCAGGTGCTCTCAGGAAGAGAGACAGGTGGAGAAATGGGCAGATTGCAGAACCTTCCTGCGCTTGACTCTTTCCTCCTCTGCTCTCCAGAGAAGGGTTAAACTATTAAGAGAGTCTTATGACTAGTGGGGCGGGTTAGAAATTTAATGAAATAAATACATGATAATATAAATATTATCCGGGTTTTTCTTCCCTGAGCAAAGAGGTGAACTGAGGGTGGAACAAAAGTGCCTCCATTTCACCCTCTTCTCACTCAGTGGGGATGGGATGGGTCTGCAACCCCTACCTGCTGTGCAGGGAAGGGCATTCCTGAAGAGCTGGTGGCTCCTGTCCCGGGGCCAGCCGTGACCTTTGAGGCTGCCGTGTTTCAGGTGGGCGAGCGGCTGGGCCGCTACGAGGTGGAGAAGCGCTGCGCGGTCGAGAGGGAGGATTACGACCTCGCCAAGCAGAAGAAGCAGCAGATGGAGGAGTACCGCCTCAAGGTGTACCAGCAGCTGGAACTGCACAATCTCCTCGAGCCGGATCTGATGGTGGGTGACATCCACGGCCGTAGCGGCCATATAGGTGCCTGGCTATTAGGGCCACTTGGAGTGGGGGAGGGCTTCTCCTGTTCTGTCATGTGGCTTAAAATCCGGCCTGGCTGGAGAGACCACGGAACTGTCCAGGGGGCAGGGGTCCAGCAGGGGAGATGCTGAGAGAGAGAAGAGCACAAAGAAGTGCTGTTGGGGCCCTGGCCAGGCCGCAGCTGAGCAGCCGTATCATCATAATTAGGGTGATTACTATACTCCGTTCATATCTCACCTTTTTTCTTCTTGTGAGTGGCCCAAAGCAGCTTATTTTTATTTTTATTTTCATTTTTTTATTTTGCATGCATTAATAGGCCGCCTATAGCTGCTAAGGCCTTCCTAGGCAGCTTGGAAGAGGTACTTGAGAGCTTACATACTTCTCCCCTCCATGTTTATGCTCACAAGAACCCTGTGAGGTAGATCAGGCTTGTTGTGTGGGACTGCTCCGAAGTCACCTGGGGAGCTTCGGGGCCAGGGAGCCTCGCCCAGACCCTCCGCTCAGCACTCCTGCAACAGCCCCATCTCCTGGCCGGCCATTAGAGCCCCGATGCAGACCTTGAGGGGTGCCTGACTTCGGAGAAGGGCTCGAGGCTTCCCAGCTTCGATGTAAGGCCCCCATCTGGACTTGGAGGCTTGAGCTGCCTGGCGCTCTTGAACTTATGGCCTCCTCAGGGGAACAGCTTCACAGGCAGAAGTGTGCTTGTGTTGTGCTGTGTTGTGTTGTGTTGTGTTGTTTTGCAGGGGGTTGAGGGAATCAATATTTGCTGACTTCCCTTGAACTTTGTAATACTAGACTGCAGGAAGTTCACTCTAGTTCTGGGATAGTCCTGCCAGGAGCATGATGGGACATGATATCCCTTCTAAAGAGAGGGGAAACACTTTCAGAAATGAGTTGGGGATTATGGGTGTTGCAGTCCAACCTATTTGGAGAGCAGGGGAGGCTGGCTTGATGTGTTGGTTGTTTTTAGGTGAGTTGTTCTGTTAATGGCAGTTTTATTTTGCTTGCCTTTTTTCACACTGGAATGTTTTGCCACCTTGGAGACTTGGTGTGGTCAAAAAACAAGATAAAAATATTTAAATGAAAAGTGCTGAATCCACACCATCTCACAATTTTGGGGGAAGAAAGAGCTCTTAACCCACCTCAGCATTTGGTGAGATACGCTGCATGCAGAAGTCACCTGGGTTGTCACCCACACCTGTGTAATCCTTACCAAAATAAGACAGGCTGGGTTGATGTAAATGCAGTGATTTGAAGTTCTGAAAAAGTACAGGGGGAAGCCAGTTTTTTCCACAGCAAAAAGAGAAAAGATCCCCTAGGGGGCAGAGAAAAAATGAACAAACGGACGTTTTTCCAGGTCTTTACCTCTCCAGCTAAATCTTAGTGATTTTACAGTCATGATTCATACTACCAAGAAAAGGACCGATTTAAGTTGCCAATTTAAATCAGAATTGCCCTTTTATTATGTGGACATCTCTTAATTTACGGAAAGTCCTCTCGTGATGCAGTTTCCCCCTCTTGCGACCACAGATTCGACGGCCTCCTGATCTGCCCCTTGAGCCTCTGGCTTACCCTGCAGCTTCTCCTCAGCAAAAGAAATCCTTGCTTCCTTCCCGGTGGGACAAAACAGAGGGGGAGTCCTTCGAGCCTTCGCCTCCTGAAAAGCCACCAGAAGCATCTTCTCCCGAGGCTGCCCCAACCCAGCCCTCCTCTCCACCTGCAGCCCAGGTGGCACCCATCTCAGCTGAGGCGTTTCCAAAGGTCAACGTAAGTTTGGTTTTCCCAGACAGTTCAGACAGTTGAATAATGGAGCGTGCACAGTTCCAAAAGAAAAGGGGATTGAGAGGGGAGGAGAGGGGGGAGGAAAGAAAAGGCTGGGCATGGCTCTCAGTTCCAGAGTTCTTATAGGTTAGCTGTATGGCAGGAAAAGGTGAAAACGAGCTCCCTGCAGCTTCTCTGATACCATTCACCCTGTGAGCACATCCTTTGGGGAGTTAGGATGTCCCAGCACTGTTCTGGGGGCAGGTTGTTGCCAAGAACTTCTGCCTAGGAGAGGGATCTGGGGCCATGTGGTGCATGGAGGCTTTGAGGTGATACACCCTTAAGAATCATCAGCATCATTCCATTTTTACATTGCCTACTACCCAAAGGTCTCAAGGTGCCTTACAGTAAAAATAGCAGTACATAAAGTAATAATAAAATACATCAAAATCAAAGTTTAAAGCCGTATCATGATAACAACATAAGAAAACAATGGACAGGAGAATAGGATCGGTTATTTAAAAAATTGCTGAAAAGGAAGATGTTTGTCTGGAGCTGAAACCATAATACAGACAGTGCCAGGCAGACATCCCTAGCGAGGCTATTCCAAAGGCCGAGTGGCCGCCAGGACCACCCTTCTTGTCTTCTCAAAGAGGTGAGAGGGATGGCAGCCGCAGAAGCCTCCTGGCCTGATCTTAGGGGATGGGGGGCTCATGTGGGAGGAGGTGGTCCTTCAGGTAGCCAGGCCCTAAGCCTTTTAAGGATCTACATGGCATAACAAGCGAGAAGACTGTGGCTCCCTGAGTGCGCAGGAATAGCCTTGACCCCTGTCTGCTGCCCTGCTTCCAGTGACACTCCAGCCGCTCGTTTTCATTGAGCCTGTATATATTATCAGGCAACCGATGGGGAAAAGATACATAAAAGCTCCCAAGCCCAAGCTTGCAGTCTAAAAATCTGGCATAAGTGCTTCCTGTGTGATGGCTGGGATTCCACAGAACATGGTGTCTGGTACAAAATTCAGCTTCCGGTGAACCCTACCTTTCACTTGCGTGAGAAAAGAATGTGTTTCTAGTCCTTATGATTGTGAAGGGTGTGTAACCAATGCCATCTGGAATCTTGAAGGTCCGAAAGTATTATTTTTTCCTGAACCCACTTGCAAATGTATATTGCAGAATTAAAAAATACATCGCAAGTGTTAGCTCTCTTCCTCCGATCACTGCAGAATGTAATTTTCTTTTCTTAGGGCTGAGGGGCAGGAGTTTCTGTGAACAGTTGAAGCAGGGTAATGTGCCAAGTCTGCAAATGTTAGAGCGGTGAATCCACGGCAAGCCCGGTGCTTTCCAGATGTTTTGGACTTGAGCATGTGTAGTTCTCCAGCCAGCACTGGGAGTTGCAGCCCAACACGTCTGGGGAGCACCTGGGTTCTGAGATGCCCGCTTGCACAGCTCCACGTTCACTTTTCCCCGCAGTTTGAAATGCAGTCCTTTCTCTCCCAAGAGCTCCAGGTAGCTAACCGCAGGCGTAAACTGTGTGCAGCGGCCCATGTTCTGTCCCTTCAAGGGACTCCCGGGGGGGGGGGGGGGGAAACTAGCGGCCAAAAAAAAGGCCCCGGGGGGGGGGGAGCGTGTTATGGCATGCACAGAGCTTGTATTCGCCTCTGCTCTCGCAGCTGCTGCTGGCCACGTGAACCTCTGCAGTCAGTCAGGGGCGATGCAGGCACTGCTGCTTTGACAGCCACTCATTTCTCTGCTAGGTTGAGTTCTTGCCGTATGACGAGAGGCCTCTGCCAACCGTTCGGAAGCAGCAGGAGGAAGGCTTTGCCTGCTTGGATCCCGAGATGAGTGAGGAAGACCCTGGCGACACGCCAAGGAGTGGCACTGTTGGAGAGCCAGAGCCACTGACAGAAAAAGCCCTGCGGGAGGCCAGCCCGGCCATAGAAGTGTTTGGGGAAAGCCTGGTAAAGACCTAGGGCCGTAGTGGTGGCCAGGCATGTGTCCTGCAGGCAGGAGGGGCCAGGCTTCTGCCCCCTGTGGATTTGCAGGTGGGGTCCCTGGCTGAGGACTGCTTCCCAGGGGACACTTTTCGCTCTCCAGAAGCTTGGATCAAGCAAAGAATAGAGGTGGGGCTCCCAGCCTGGGGATGCTTTCCTGGCCCTCCTGGTGCCCCCAAGCAGCCACACTCCTTTCCCCACGTCACCAGGTGATTTCCCACTTTCCTTTCCCATCCTTTACCACACTTGCTTGGAGGTTTTCCAGCTTTGGTGCTGTTTTTATTCCCCCACCTTAAAAGATTGAAATGCCTTTTCTAAGCCTTGATTGCTGGCAGTGAGAGCTTTAAACCCCCATGGGCCAGGATTTCTTTGTCCCCACCCCCTTACTTGCAGCACCATCCTTTGCTGGATTTCTGCCCTGCAGAGTTTCTGAAAAAAATGCGTCTGCCCCTCAGGTTAGAAGAGATTCTGTGCTTCTGCTGTACAGGCAAAAGCGTGAAATTCAGGTCAACAGACTGCCTCCTCCTGTTTCTTGCACCTTTCCGTCTGCAGCTCCCTGGGTTCATGTGCTTGTTACTGGTTTTAATGGGCCTCCTACAAACAGAGTTCTCAGGAGCAGCTTACATCAAGAGATAAAGCCACGTTAAAACCCGCTAGCCCTAAAAGGAAGTGACAATAAAAATAGCCTGCAGCTTCAGAAATAGAAGCAGTGGAGGGTGTCACCATTTAAAGCTAAAGCTGCTTGCATGTGCAGTTCCTTCTGCACATCCCACACCCTGGAGGGAAGATTCTGGTAGTGGGGTTGTGTCTCACCATTGCCAAGGACCTGAAGAGGCTGCGCCTCACTCCCCGAAATGCACAGCACGTTCACCCTGGTGTACTCCTGACCACATTTAACCAGGAAGGCATTTTAATTGCAACCTGCTTTAGAGCCAGCCTAAAGCATAATAAAGAATTTGAACTGCTGCAGTTACCAGCCAGTCGGTGTACAGAAGGACCGAAATGGAGATGGCACCGGTAACTCCTGTGCCTGCTGACAGGCCAGCGTGCACGCAGCTGCAGCCTGCGACTGTTGCAGGATGGCCCCTGTCCGATCTGCTAGTGACCTTTGCCCCCAGCAGCCCCCTCTGCCCAAACACAGGTCAGCAAACCCGTTCCAGTTCCCTGCTTCAAAGATCTCGGGGGATGTCTTGCTTCCAGTCAAGGCACCTGCAGGTAACACCACTGGGCTGCAGTTTAGGTTGTCTGCTGCAAAGAGCATGCTTTTGTGTTTGCACCAAGAGGGTAACAGCTCGCTAGAATGCCAGCCAGGATGCACTCCCATTTCAAGGGGCAGGGGCGGGCGGGCTCCTGCCTTCCTCTTGCACCCGCTCTTTTGTAGCTGGACCGTCCCGCCTCACCAGCTCTCACCCAGCCGTCTCCAGGGCCTCACCCTCCTGGGCCCCGGTGTCGCGTGTGTGCGCAGATGTTTGGGAGTCAGCTCGTGTATATTACCCATGCGTGTGCTTAGGAGCATCTCTTCACACGGCACTTTGCGAAGAATAAGCTGGTCGAGCCTCTTCCTTGCGCTTGCCCTTTGAAACACAACGGGAAGCAGGAGAGGGTTGGGGTGCAGACCTTGGGCAAGCAAGGGAACGATATGCAATTATTTCAATTAAACATAGTTTGGTTTGGTTGCAGGAAGGTAAATGCAATAAAGACTAGAGTGGGGTGCAGATCCCCCACCTCAAGGCCCTAATCCAGCTCTCTGGATCTCCCCAGAAGCCACCGCCTCCCCTTCCCAACCGATTGTTTGACTCTTTCTGGCTTCTGTGCACTTTCCCCCTATTCTAAACAGTTAAAATGCCCCTCTGAAGGCTTGGCTCCTGGAAGCACACACTTTGAGCTACATTATGATGGCACTGGCAGGGCAGGTGGGGGGGATCCTCCCTTCGTGCTGTTGGCTGCTGTAATGCGGCCCCTGAAAGCTTATCTAAGGTGGAATTCCGCCCTCGGTCAAAGAGGACCCCAGCCTGCAGCGGATGGGTGGTCCAGGCTCTTCCCAGGAAAGATGAGCACTGAGGAAGGCCTTGAAGGCACTGAGGCAAGGGGTTGCCAAGAGGTGTTCTGGGAAGTGGTTGCAAGCCTACGAGGCACGAAGGGAGAACGGACAGGGTAGTTTCTGGGGCAGGAGAGCTGGGGACAGGTGAGGGGTGCAGCTGGATGACTGAGAGCGAGTCAGGATGCCAGAGCCGTGTGTGATGGTGAGTGGCAGCACTGGGGAAGGGATGGCTGAGAAGACTGGGCGGGATCTGGGCCTGGAGAGGAAACCAGCACGGGCTTGGGAAGGGGCTTTCCACAGCCGGAGCAACAAGATCTGTGTGAGGAATGGAGGAGAGCAAGCAGGGAGGGCCCTTCCGCCCAGGGGCTGAGCCTGCTCACTGCTCTGGTGTCCATCGCATGTCAGGCCTGCTCCAGCCTGCGCTGTCTTGGCCTGTGCTCTTCTCTGGGTCACCTTTCAGTGTGGCAGAATAAGGGGCACTCGCTGCTGCTTGCTGCTTACAGGTGTGGGTTCTTTGGACCGCTTCAGCTGCTTAATGTTTGCTCCATCAGGTTGCTGGCGCCTATTCCAAGACATGGTCGTACCGCGAAGACTCGTTGCTTGCAATCTATAAAAAGATGATGGAGATTTCCACAAGCACTCCAAAGGAAGACCTGAAGAACCTGCTTCGAGGTGCCATCTTTCTCATTGTGAGAGCCATAAAAGACATCGTCTCTTCAGTGAGTAACACTAGAGGGGAGTGCGGGGGGGGGGGGCGCCTCTAACTTTGGGCAACTCCCGTGGGCACCACCTCTATAATCCCATTATTTGAACTGAGGCTCTGGTGGGCTTTTAGCAGTGGCAGCCGATAATCCATCCCACTTTCCATGGCCGGGGAAGGCGTTCTTCTCTCCTCCGGCACAGCTACAAGGAAGACCATGGGAACGCCGCCTCCGCTTTGCAGCTGCTTCCCATTTAGTACCATGTCTGAGATGTACGCACTCTCAGTCGTTCCCGTACAACTGCCCTGCTGCAGGTTGGTTCCCACAAGACGCTTGTCAGGAACTCGGGGGGTCATCACATCCGATGAACCCCTGTAACCAGTTGCTGGAATTCACCAAGATCCATGAACTGATGTACAGAATCCAGGGTCAGCCATTAAGCCAGGGCCCTTCTCTCCGCTACCACTTGGCGATCTTGCATCCTGGTCTCTTTCTGCCGATTTTGGAAAGTTGGTTTGGGACCACTGCAAACCAGTTTAACAAGTCCTGTTGACTGCTCATTGTGGGTTTGTCTCTTCTATGCCAGGTTTTTCAAACTTCCTTAAAGCTCCTAAAAATGATCATCACGCAGTACATCCCCAAGCATAAGCTGGGGAAGCAGGAGACGGCACACTGTGTGGAGAGGACCTTGCCCAACCTACTCTCCAGGACGGGGGATTCCTCTGCCCGCCTTCGCACAGCAGCCGCCAACTTCATCCAGGTAAGGCTGTGGAAGATGCGCCGTGCAGGGTTCCGGCAGGTTCTCAGCTCAGAGCCACTTGTGCTCCCAAAGGGTCCAGCGTTCTATAAGAAATCGGGCGAGTCAAATCTCCTAGGAGCCTGCCAAAAAGATGGCTGGGGGACATACGGGGGTGCAAGCCACGGTGTCTCTCAGAGATCTGTGAAGGGACAGCGCAGTGATAATGACGCTCGCGTGGACCTGAGAGGAGCCGTGCTGGACCCCACCCTCCAGACACGTTGGGCCGCAGTTCCTGCAGTTCTCAGCCAGCATGGCCACTGCTGGCTAAGAACTGTGGGAGTTGTAGTCCAACACATTTGGGTGACGCGAGGTTAATGGAGGCTGATCTGGTTCAGCATTCTTAACATCCACTGGCTAGAGAAATCCGCAAGCAGGGCGGGTGCAGCAGCACCCTCTCACCTCTGCTCCCCAGCAGGTGGTGCACCGAGACGCACGGCCTCCGGTGCAGGAGGCTGCATGTGGCCCCCGGGCTGGCGGGCACCAAAGGCCTCACCCTCTTCTGTGAGCTCGCAGGCGCCAAGACGTAGGCCCGTTGAGGCGGGGAAGGTCAGAACAGGCAGAGGAAGCAACAACCCGCGTCGCGCCTGACGTTGGAGCGGGTCGGGCTGCTGGTGCGCGTGGCACGGCACGGGGAGGTTCCAGCAGGAGGCGGGTGCGAGCGCCCTCGTGCGGAAAGCGCTTCCTCGCGGTCGCGCCTGCCCTCCCCGGGCCCCGTGCTGCCGCCCGGCTGCACCTGCTCGAGGCTGCCGCCCTGCACACGACGGGGCGGCTTCCCCATTGCGAGAGGGTGACAAATGTGCTGGCAGCCGGGCAGTGGCGGGCGCAGAGGTTCCTCCTCTGCACATTCAGAGCCACAGACCTTTTCCTTGCAGAGCATTTTTTATTGGCCAAATGCCCAGAACACCCAGGGTGAATTTCCCAGCATGAGCACAGCAGTTTGTTGAACCCATTCTAGTGTTCACCTGCAGGAACTCTCCTTATGGGCATGCCTGTCCCCCGTCTTTTTGTGAGAGGCCCCCTGAAAGCAAGGGCGCCTCCTCACTGCACGCCAGTCCTGTAATCGGGCTGCCCTCCTCTGCTGCCATGAGGTCAGGAGCCATACGCAGCTCGTCCGTGGCTGAGACACTGCCCTCTCCGCGTCCCCTCTGCTGGCTGTGCATCTGGGTTCTTCCAGAGACTGCGGGCCCACCTGGGGAGCCTGGCCTTGAGGCGAGGATCTCCATCTCTCTCATCCTGGAGTGTTGGGATGGCCCACTTTCCCGGCTGCCCCCTGCCCCTCCCCCCTGCCCCTCCTCCTGGTTTGGAGTCTTTGGAAGCCAGCCAGCAGGCCTTGGAAACACGCACCCGGAGCAGCCATCCTTCTTGTCCCCTCGGGCAGGAGGGCAGGAATGGGCACAGTCTCCCCTCCTGAAGTGCTTCCTCCACTGGGATGTCCCGTTTTAGCACCGCTGCAGGTCCCTGTGTCTTCGCAGAGTTCCTGGAGGTGCGCCTCTTCAGCAGGGGTGCCTCTAATGAGCCCTTTTAACGATGACGAATCTTGCAGGGTTCAGGAGAACGTCCCTTGGCCGTGCCTTTGTGAGCTGCTTGTGAATTACCGCCCTGTGTGCACTGTGTGTGTCTCTCTCCCCAGGAAATGGCCCTCTGCAATGAAGTGAAGCCTCTTCAGATCGTACCTGCGCACCTGCTGCAGCCCCTCAAGCCAAATGCCCCCACACATCTCGCCATGAGCCAGGTGGAGCTGGTGGAGCGCTTGCTGAAAGACCTTGGAACAGAGAACAGTGGTTTTTCTGTCGATAATATCATGCGGGTAGGGAGCCGGCCGCTGGTACTCCTCCATTTGTCTGGATCGTGTGGCCGGGTGGCAGGACGTCTCCTGAAACAGTGCAAAACGAGCAACCTTCATGCTGGCCTGACTAGCGTTATGTAGATGGCCTTCAGCCCCCTCCAGGGAGCTTTCTCCCACTGGCTGTTGGTTAGGGCAGCAAAGGGGACCCTTGGGACAGGAGAGACGTTAAAACTTCTTCCTTCCCTCCTGCCCCTTCAGATCTGAGGTGGAGGTCCTTCTTTGGGACCCCTCCTTGAAAAACATTATGAGGGTGGCTACCTCGAGAAGGGCCTTCTCTGCCGTGGTGCCCCAACTGTGGAATACGCTCCCCATGGAGGTTCATCTGGTGCCAGCGCTTCTTTCTTTTTGGTGCCAGGCAAAAGCCTTTTTATTTTCCCATTATTTTAATTGTTAATTGGTTTTAATTGTGGTTTTAATATTTAATCACAGGATGCTGTGCCATTTTTATTTTATTTGTGCTTGTTGTAAACCATCCTGAGATGCCAGTAATGGGACGGTCTATAAAAGCTTTCAGTCAATCAATCAATCAAATTTTGCCGAGACAGAAAGAACAAAAGGACAAAAGACCATTGACAGCCCTGAAGCAGGCCTAGATCTTAAGTGAGCTGGCACCCTCCAGGCTACCATGCCCACAACTCCGCTGCCTGGGGATTGTAGGCACTGTAGGCCCAACACAGCTGGTGGAAACCAGCTCGGAGGGGGCTGCCTTCAGCAGCAGGAGCCGCTCTGGTATCATCCTGGGCTTTGGCCAGAGAGATCCTGCTCAGCTAGCAAGTCTGTTTGCTCCCTGAGCCAGGTGCTCTCTCACAGCTTCAACTGCAGGGCACCAGGTGCTTCTCAAGCCCCCTCTTATGCCACACTGAAAAAACCGCCATGCCTCTTCTCCTCCTCAGTTTGCAGCAGGCGCTCTGGAGCACCGTGTCTATGAGGTCAGAGAAACAGCCCTCCGGATCATCCTGGACATGTATCGGCAGCATCGAGCCGCCATCTTTGATTACTTGCCCCCTGATGACAGCAACACACGCAAGAATGTGCTGTACAAGACACTCTTTGATGGGTTTGCCAAAATAGACGGCAAGCTCACAGAAGTGGAAACCAGGGTCAGTAAGAGGGGGGTTCCAGTTGCCGTGTCTGGTGGGTTTTGTGGGTTGACTGGTCAGTGGGGCAGGGAAGCCCTGAAAACCCATCCAGACGATCATCTGAGTAAGACTTTTATACATGGTCGACTCATGGAAGCCTGCCTCTCCTTTCTTGGACACCTGTGCATCAGAGGCCTGCATGGATGGAGCCCCAAAATTTAGGACATCCATCTAGTCCGGCTTTCCACAGTATTTTTTCAATTTATTTGCTTGTGCAGAATGCACCAGCGTTGGGGGAGGGGGGAGTCTTATTCTTCCCAAGCGGAGTACAGCTATTGGTTGCAGGATGGCCCCTGGCCTTGGGGTTGCAGCATAAAAGAGGTGCACACATAAGGCAAAGTGGATCGGGGAGGGGGAAGGAGAAAAGACTGATCAAGCACTGCTTCTAAAAGTAACCATTCTTGCAATGCCTAGCTGGGATGCAAACCATCTGGGTTGCCTGATGAAACGGCTTCTGCTGGTTGTGGAGAGCCAAAGGCAGCTGGTGTCTCAGCAGAGGCGATGGAATAGCACTGTTCTCTTCTCTCCCTCTGCTCTGACAGCCAGCTAGATGCCTCCAAGAAGCTCACAAGCAAGCCATGAAAGCAGCAGGCTTCCTCCTGCTGCTGCTTGTCCCTAGCACCAGGTATTAAGAGGTAAACAGGCTGTATTCATGGACACGCTACCCATCTGTCATGGCTGGACAGCCTCCCAGCCTCCATGAGTTGGCCAGATCCCCCTTTTGAAGCCACTCAAGGCACCGCCTATCGCTACATGCTGTGGCAGAGAGTCTCGTGGACTAATGATGTGCCGTGTTCCCATCTGCTTCTGCTTCTGCTCCTGCTTCATGGCAGAATCAGCTAAACAAGCGGTTCTGCGCATTCCGTTCTTTTGCCTGCGTGTGCTCATTGTGCGCACTTTGGTCACTGTGCAAGCTGCCATCATTCTGTGGCAAGTAGCAACATTCCAGATGCTGGCATTTCAGAAAACCAGGCAAGTCAGCCCTGGTTGTGATTCCAGTCCAGGAGCTGGTGACCTTTCATTGTGTATGTGTTGTATATTTGTCAGACCCAGAAAAAGATGGCTGCCGAAGAAGCTGAGAAACAAAAGAAAGATGAAATCAAAGCGTTGCAAAGCCAACTGGCCACTCTGAAAGAGATGCAAACAGAAGCGCAGGCAGCAAAGGTACTGGGTGATGCTATTCGCTGACTTTGTTCTTATGGGCTGCAGGGTACCCATTCATTCAAGAAGACTGGGGGCATCTGTCTGTTTCTTGGGCTACATCTTGAACCATGATGGTTTTTGCAAATACACCAACTATGAAACGGAGCTTTTTCAATGGTGTCAACAGCTTTTTTTCTGGCTATTTCATTTTGATTTCGAGTTGGTTCCCAGCCCCCTCTGCTGTCTTCCTCAGAACCTCAGCAGCCAAATGAAGATTGGGGTGGGGGGTGCTGTTAGTCTCTCTGATTGCATTTGTTCATTAAATTTTTTCTTTCTTTTCAGGAGAAAGAGAGTGATTTTCAGAAGTCTAAGAATCACGGTAGGTAAAAAGAATGGTATGTATCTTTAGAATATGCTAAGAATTTTTAAGGTGATGAAACACAGAATTATCAGGCCAATGTGTTCAGGACTATGTACTCAAAAAGGGGCAGTGTCCAGATCCTTCACTGGAGTAACTCTGGAGAAAGGGAATTCACTGCCTTCATATAAGCAACTTGTAAACTGTGTGGAATTGTATTCCGCTTCTGCTTGCAATGGGAGGAGACAAGGAGATATGTGCAGCGCTAAAACTCTGTCCTGTAGATCACGAGGGATTTCACACACCTTCTGAAATGTACTGTAATCCTGTATGAATACAAGAACCTGGAGAAGGAGTCCCAATTTTTGTTTAATGGAACCGTGACTCTATAATAAACGTTGACAGGTAGAGCAATCATTTTGCTGGTTCTCATTTCACAGATGCATCAGTGTAACTGGTTGCTGTGATTACAGTGTTCCAATGCTACCCGTGTGGCTACAGCTCTTCAGGAAACCAAGTCAGATACTGGTGGGACTGTGTAGGAGCCCTTCTTTGTGCGTGCCACTTATCTTTGTTCCCAAAGAGTTTCCAGTGGCTAGTCAGATCCGTTCGTTATCATCCTCAGTGGGCAGGTTATATATGTACCTACATACGCACATGTGCAAAAACAGAGAGAGTGGGGAAATGCTGGTCCAGACAGCCATGATAGGCAAAAGGAGCAGCACAGGAAAATTCCATCCGTGGAGTCCGTCTGTACAAGATGAATACAGTGAGGATTCACAGCGGCAGGAGCTGGTGAAAATGCAGCACCTGAGCTCTCTTGTATGAATCAGCACCTGCACTGGGGCAAGTGCCCCTCTCTGTTCGAGCCTGGATAGATCATGCCAGACCTCTCAGTGAGCTCCAGATCTGCTGTTTCATGCCGGAACCTCCCCCCACCCCACCCGTGAAATTCCTTTCCTTGGCGAATGGCACCTTCTCCATGAGGGTGAGCTGCAAGGACTCCTGAGAGACTGGACTATTTCCCCAGTGGATTCTGAACATGGCTGTTACTGGGGTTGGCTTTGTACCGTTTCCTCCTTTTTTGGAGACAGTCTGGCCTGTTTGTCCCACACAACAGAGCATCGCAGGGCCTCATCAGAGCAGCCAGAACATCCAAAACAGCTGTTCACCCGATCCCTTGCTAGTGCAATATATTCCACCTCCTGAGGGCAAGACCTAGCTTCCTCCAACAGTAATCAGTGGTTGAGCCTGATCACAAACATGTGTTTCATCAAGCAACAAAATCGACCCAAGGCAGAGTGCTTGGGATAACAGTCCTCTTCTCAGGATCACGTGGGCCCTTTCCTCCCCCTCCCCACAAAAGAGTACACTTTCCCTGTGGAAGGATGCCATCACATAGAGCGTTAATGACCTGTCTGTCTTTTCCCCCCTTCCTTTTTTTAAAGGTGAAACCTTCAAAAAAGCATCACAGCCTGCAGCAGCAGAAATGCCAGATGACCATTCCTCCGTTGCAAACTACCTTGACAAGTAAGCAAAAAAGCTGTCAGTGAGCAGTTGGCACAGGGAACAAACCTGTGGATCAAAGCTGCTCGCCTCTGTAAGCAAGAGGTGCTAAGTGGGAGGCAGGATTCTGCCCCGCCCCAGAAAGCAGTAGAACTGACTGGAATGTGTGAACGGTGTGGTCAGTTTTTCAGTTCGCACACACACGTTCTCATCAGAGTTCCGGGATTAAGCTCTGTTCCCAAGCATCACTCTGCCACGTGAATTTTTCTGATGTGCTTTTGTTGCCACCAGCCTCTCTGTGGGTGACCTTCAGCAAGGCTTCAGGGAGGGAAGGAGAGAAAGCTGGGGGTGCCAGAGTTCAATATAATGTGGCTGGAATTCACTGCTTGAAAGGGGAGGAGGTCAGTGGGTAGAAACCCACTTTAAGCTGCCAGGGGTGCCTGGCACAATCTAGGATGGGCTTGTGTTGATTGTTGCCAGAAGCCCTGGAACGTTGCCATCAGCCCATTGGTCCCGAGCCAGGGGGAGCATGCTTTGGCTGCAGGAAAGCTTTCTGCACTCCTAAAGGCAGGGAGCATGGATGCCTCCCTGCAGGGCCTGTTTCTTAACCTCTGCATTCACTGTTTTTCCTCTGCTCCAGTCTCTGTATTTTCTGTGGTGAAAGAGATGAATCCTTCACAGAGGAAGGGCTGGACCTCCACTACTGGAAACGCTGCCCCATGCTGACCAGATGTGATTTCTGCAAACAGGTGAGCTTCTGTCCTTTGGCCAGGCTGCTGTGGACATTGCTACATTTACAGGGGCACAGAGAACTACAACCTGCACAACAGACACCGTACCGTGCTTTAAAAGCAATAGGTACATTGATTTGTGTTTAGGTTCATTCACTAAATGAACCTCCTCCTCTTTTTAAAAAAAGTTTTATTGGAAACATGCAAGGTGACAACAATACAGCAACAAAAGCAACACATTCAGCTTGTCCTATTACGCATTTCAGGTCCCTGCAGACAACCTCACTGGATTGATTTATTTATTTATCTATTATGGTCATAAACCAATGTGGACCTGCACAATGAATTAAGCAATGCTTTTCCATTACCCCAGCTAAAATAGCAGTTTAAAATAAACTTAAAAACAAAAACAAAAAAAGTAATGGACACCAAAAAATCAAATCAAAATAGCCTAGGCCACATAACTAAAATACATAATGCCACAAACTATTATCAGTACAATAACAGTAGTACTGATACAGTCTTTGTTAAAATCCACTGCAGTTTAGTTGTATGAAATGTATAAATTTATGACTAAATAGCATAAGTTTTTCATAACCTAAGTATTGCCCTGCAGAAACTGGCTACTTGATATGTGATCTTAGCATCTTTATCTGTTAGAAGAAACTCAGGTGCCTTAAAGTATACATTTTAATCTTTGTTAACAGCGACAAAATAATCACTTTTCAATTCTTCGCCTTATCTTTCATTTTTAAAAAGACAAATTGAAAAATCGCTACCGGAATTGTAAGGATAGTGAGAGGTGCAGTCGCAATATCACAGTCATTAGCCAATCAGTCCTCTGCACACCTAGCCTTTAAAACCAGCTTCCAGAATGAGTTTTTCTTTGGCTCAAATCCTGGAGATTGATAAGTATATCTCACCAGAACATGGCAAGTGTACACCCAAAGTGCAGCAAGTCCTGTTTCCTTGCCCCCCTGGGCCCTTCCAGACAAGGCATTAATCGTGCCATCATCATGGTTCATTTGCTTTTCTTTCATGCTGGGGGCAAGGCAAAGCAGCAGTGGTGTGTTTGCTCTTTGCACTGCCATCTCCTTTTAACCCGGACCCCAGGGAGCTGCTGCACACTTTCTTGTGTGGGAAAACCCCACTGGATAGGAGAGTCACTCCGTGGCATCAGCAGGAAACTCCCATGGCTTGTCCTAAAGCAGCATGAAACGGCATGGCTCTTTTAAAGGGCAGTTTTCTTCTGCCCACTCATTTTCAGTATTGGGGCTGGTAGGGATGAACTCACTCAAAGCTCTGAGCAGAGCCAGCTGCGGTGTGAGACGGGGCAGTATAAAATGTTGGGGCCCTCCCCAGCTCTGCTGTATAGATGGCATTTTCCTGTTTGTATTCTGGCAGAGCCTCTCTGCAGACACAGCAAGTTCCCATCACACTGGTGCAAGGAGAACATTGCAGAATATAGTCACCCAAAATGAGCATGTGTGGAGCAGGTCTGGCGCTATCCTGACGTCATTGTGCCGCACGCAGAATCACAGAATAGTAGAGTTGGAAGGGGCCAAGAAGGCCATCAGGCCAAGCCCCCGCTGTCACAGGACACCAAGTTACACCTCCCCACTCAGATGGCTGTCCAGAGGTTTTTTGAATGTGTGTGGATCACAACAAATTGTGGCAAGTTCTTAAAGAGATGGGAGTACCAGACCATCTTATTTGTCTCTTGAGAAACCTGCATGTGGATCAAGAAGCAACAGTGAGAACTGGACACGGAACCACTGATTGGTTCAAAATAGAGAAAGGAGTTCGGCCAGGCTGTATACTGTCGCCCTGCCTATTTAACTTATATGCAGAGCACATCATGAGAAAGGCGGGGCTAGATGAATCACCAGTTGGAATTAAGATTGCTGGGAGAAATATCAACAACCTCAGATAGCAAGATGATACTGCTCTAATGGCAGAAAGTGAAGAGGAACTAAAGAGCCTCTTGATTCATATGAAAGAGGAGAGCGCAAAAGTTGGTTTGAAACTCAACGTTAAGAAAACTAAGATCATGGCATCTGGTCCTCTCACTTCCTGGCAAATAGATGGGGAAGAAATGGACATAGTGACAGATTTTATTTACCTGGGCTCCAAGATCACCACAGATGGGGACTGCAGCCAAGAAATTAAAAGACGCTTGCTCCTGAGGAGGAAAGCTATGGCAAATCTAGACAGCATACTAAAAAGCAGGGACATCACGCTGACAACAAAAGTGCGTATAGTCAAGGCGATGGTTTTCCCAGTTGCAATGTATGGCTGTGAAAGCTGGACCATAAGGAAGGCTGAGCACCGAAGAATTGAGGCCTTTGAATTGTGGTGCTGGAGGAGACTCCTGCGAGTCCCTTGGACTGCAAGGAGATCAAACCAGTCAGTCTTAGAGGAGATCAACCCTGACTGCTCTTTAGAAGGCCAGATACTGAAGGTGAAACTGAAGGAAGGACTCCCTGGAGAAGAGCCTGATGCTGGGAACAATTGATGGCAAAAGGAGAAGGGGACGGCAGAGAATGAGGTGACTGGATGGAGTCACTGAAGCAGTTGGTGTGAGCTTAAGTGGACTCTGGGAGATGGTGGATGACAGGAAGGCCTGGAGGAGTGTTGTCCATGGGGTCGCGATGGGTCGTACACAACTTTGAAATTAGCAAGCAAGCAAGTGAAGAAGATCCCCAGCTTCCCCAGGCTATAGGTTCCATTGTCATACTGTTCTGACAGTGAGGAAATTCTTCCCAGTGTCTAGTCTAAATCTGGTTTTCTTTAACTTAAGTCCCTTATTCTGCATCCTGCACTCAGGAATGGATGAGATCTTGACTTTCCTCTTTCTGACAGCCTTTCAAGTACTTGTAGGGTGCTATCATATCTCCCCACAGTCTTCTCTTTTTGAGGCTGAACACGCCCAGTTCTCTCAGTCTCTCCTCAGAGGGCTTTGCCTCCAGTTCCTGAATCATCCCTGTTGCCCTCCTCTGTCCCCTTTCGAGCTTTTCTGTGTCCTTTTTAAACTTAGGTGCCCAGAACTGGACACAGTACTCCAGGTAAAGTCTGACTAGTGCTCAGTATAGTAGAACTAGTACTTCACGTATTTTGGAAGTGATGCTTCTGTTAATGCAACCCAAAATAGTGTTTGCCCTTTTTACAACATCAAGAAGCTTCTTTAAGACTCATTCAGGCCTTTGGGGAAAGGGGGTGTCCTCCTCTTTGTTAAATGTTTTAACACTGAGAGCCACTGTGGTGCAGTGGTTAAGCACATGGGACTGCAACGGGGACTCGGGCAATCTGAGTTCCTCTCCCCTTGCAGCCGTGATATCAACTGGGTGACTTTGGGCCAGCCACAGGCTCTCAGTGCAACGTACCTCACAGGGTTGTTGTTGGGAGAAAGCACCAGGAGGATAATTATGTAAGCCGCTTTGGGTTTGTTGTAAGAAAAAAGGCAGGATATAATTCTAACAAACAAACACTTCCCCACCCAGTACAGTCCACACATCTGTTTGTAGCAGCAAAGAGCGAGCAAACAGTTATGCAGCATGCGCAGCTGTTTTCCCCAGTGTTGAGGAGGATGTTTAGTTTAAGTCCTGCAGTCAGGAGCCAAACAGCTCATGGGGGCAAGAGCTGGGAGTGGCCTTTCTCATTCTTGCCACCATCCCCTCCCATTTGGGCAGTCCTCTCAGTGGGCAAGTCTGTCTGATCACAAAGTGGCATCCAGATCAGAGCCCGGGGAGTCCTCTGCATTTGGGTGCCGCCACCTTCTGCTGCCTGAGAGGCTGGGCAACCCAGAGAAGCAGCTCTGGAGACTTCAGTGGACAGGCAAGCACAGAGTTGACAAGGGGTCCTTTCGGCATCCCAGTTCCCAGCTGTTAAGGGTTTCCAGGTCAACATCCAGAGGCAACTTGAATTCATATCACTGCTCCCACCCCCACAGCTTCTATCGCACTCTGGTCTCCAACAAGGAAGGTTCTGCATTTTCTTCTGCTGTCCCAAAACATGCTTCTCAGCAGTTTACAAAGCAGTATTTCATTTTTAAATGCACAGCTTCCCTTCAGTTCATATCTCAGCATAGTTTTCTCTGGACAGTTTTCTTTTTTGGAGAGAGACCCTAACCAGCAAATGCTTGCCTGCTAACCGAGGCCAAATCAGTCAACAGATCAATCAAGGAGCCTTTCAACAAAGCCTTGGCGTTGATGTTTGTATGTTACTTTGTATGGTTGTACAACATTTTATGAAAGATGCAAGCTTAATAAAAACGTGGAAGTGAACCTGCCCGACCGGGAGCAGCAGTGAGCCAAAAGACATGCGCCTTCATCATGGGGCAGGGATGCCTCACAAAAGCCACTTGCGGTCTCTGAAGAGCAACATCTCCAGGCGATGCAGCAAAGTCTCCCACGAGCAGAAGAAGAGCCCGACGTGGGATCGGTGCACGGACCGGTCTCACCTGGCATTGTGCCTGCATGGCAGCCAGCCAGCCAGCCGCCCAGGGGAAGCCACACATGTGACAACACCATCCTGCCCATGTTCCCCAGCAAGCGAACAAGTACGCTTGCTATCTGAACGGTAGTGGCGTCAGGCATCGGGACTCATAGGCATTGGCAGCATTCTCCTCCAGGAATTTCTCCAGTCCCCTTTGAAAGTCACCCACAACATGGCAGTGTTGTGATGTTCCACAACCTGAGGAAGTGCACTTCACAGTTTTAACTCATTGCTGTGAGAGGAAGTCCCTCCTTTGATCAGTCCAGAATCCCCTGCTGTTGAGCATCATGCCGTGACTGCTGTAGATCATGAGCAAGGGAGAAAAATGTCTCCTCCTCCACGCCATGCCTGCCTTGCATTTTTCCTAGGCTAAACAAGGACAGATGTGACCTTCCCTTGCAGGGAACATCTCTGTGCCCCCCAGCTGCCCGTGTCTGCCTGCCTGCTTCCTCCTGGGGCTGCAGCACGCCCTTCCTTGGCTGGATGCCCTCTAGGCAAGCTGGGCAGCTCTCTGGTAAGGAGGGGCACCAGGTTAGGAAAGGCTGCCTAGAACACAGCTTTCTCTTCTGCTGGCAAAGCCATGGGGGCAGCCAGGGTGCAAGGAGAAAGGCCGAGGCCGGTGCCCAGGGGAAGGAGGCCCTCGCTGCAGCAGTCCCCCCCCCCCACGGCTGTCACCTCCTTCCCCCACAGGTTGTGGAGATCGCCAGCCTGACCGAGCACTTGCTGACCGAGTGTGACAAGAAGGACACCTTCGGCAAGTGCCTGCGCTGCTGTGAAGCCCTGCCGAAGGAAGAGCTGCCCAGGCATGTCAAGGGGAAGGCCTGCAACCGTAAGTGCCACGCTCCGTCCTGCAGGGGGTGCTGGGTGGACCAGGTAGCGCGCCCTGCGGCTCGTCCCGGAAAAGCTGCTGCTGTGAGGCTCGTCCTGGCTTTTGCCTCCGGGCTTTTAGCCAGCAGAGGTACGCAGAGGCCAGCGAGTGATCCAGTCACGGAATGCACCTGACTGTTGGCCATGAGCCCCAGGCAGCCCTGTGTAAAAGCGAATTCTCGCATATGGCTTGACACTGAATCCAGATTGCTGCAGGGAGAGACACATCTGTGTTCTTCCAGCAGAGGCACAGGACCAACGGAATAGCTCAGAAGCTGGCTCCCGTCCTGGAAAGTCGCCCTGTGGCGCTCATGCACTTGACAAGACAGGTGGGAGTGGGGAGAATGGCTTCGGCCGCATGTGGCATGCTGTTCCTTCCCTGCAGGATTTAACGGAGCCAGCCGCCATGCATCCGCTGGCCACGAGCAGGCTCGGCGTCTTTTGTTTTCTTGATCAAGCCGAGCGTGGGCAGCTTCCGTGGATTGGGGCTCTGCATTGCCTGCCCACCCTGCTCCACTGAAGGCCCTCCAGGGGCATCGCCACCAAAGTTGCTGCTGAAATGCGGTCACAGTAGAAGTGTGGCAGGAAAAAGGGCTTCTTTTAAAGCAAAATACTGCGAGGTGACTGAGAAAAGGAGCTCTTTTGCTTTGAAGCCCCAGCATTTGGCAGCAAACTATGACTCTGCTTTTAAAGGGACTTTTTTCCCTGGTGTTGCCACTTTCCTCTAAATTCCAGCTATTTACCAGGGCACGGGGAGGGGGAGTGCAAAAACGACGTGGGGCACAAGCTATCCAGCCCTGAATTGAGCACCTCAGGAATTCTGGTATCCAGACGGGTGACGTTTTCCAGCTGCTGGTATCTGTTCTCAGCTCATGCGTTAAAGAAATCACAAAACAACCCCTTGTGTAAGGCTGAAAAGAAGGGCCATCCAAAGATGTTGGCTGTGTGGGAGGTGTCGGAGCAGGGCTGTGTCCTTGGCCACTGATGGAAAGGTACCCCCTTTGTGCAGGGGCCAGTGGCTTCTTCCAAACTCCTCTGATGTCTCACCCTCTTCTTCCCAGCTGCCAAGCCTGAAAAAGTGGCCAATCACTGTCCGTTATGCCATGAGAATTTCACGCCTGGCGAGGAGGTGAGTGTGGCCACCCCCACTTGTCTGAAGGGACCGGTCCCTTTGTATGAGAGGCCCTGATTCACCACTGCTAACAAGAATTGGCCGGAGCTGCTCAGAAGGAGCTGGTTGGCCACCCGGGAAAGCCCAGCTTCCAGCCTGGGTGGGCAAAGGAAACCTTGGGCAGGCTCCCTTACAGGATTGTTGTGAGGTCAACTGCAGCGGAAATAGCACTGTGCCTTGCAAGTCCCTTGCACAACAGAGGGAACACAAACCTCAGCAGTGGCCGTGGAAGGGCGGCCGCTTCCTAGCAGAAGTGAAACTACAGCATCTGTTTGGAATGAATTGTCTGCCTCTTGGGATCCAGCTCCATTTTCAATCTGCCTCTCTTCATGTCAGGAGCACCGATGGTTTTCCCCAATCCCTTCTTGTTTTAGCAGCCCTGTGAGGTGGGTGGAAATCAGAGCTTACAGGAAGTGCACAGCTGCTACAGAAAGCAGAGACATCCCAGCTCACCTCACAACAATGCCATCATGCCACTCCCCAGGGCAGAGCAGGGGGTTGTCCATCCCAATCTGCTTCACTGTCCGTGGGGAAGAGCTGGTCCCTGAGCACAGAATGTTAGAGTTGGAAGGGGCCAAGAAGGCCTTCGGTCCAACCCCTGCTGTTGCAGGACACCAGTTCATACTATCCCACTTGGATGATGGTCCAGTTTCGCCTTGAATGTCCCCAGTGTGGGAGAGCCCCCCACCTCTCCAGGCAGCTGGTTCCACTGTCGTCTTGCTCTGACATTGAGGAAGCTTTTCCTGATGTCCAGCCTGGATCTGGGTTGTTGCCGCTTGAGCTGATTGTTCCATGTCCCACACTCTGGTCCTCCTCACTTCTCCCCTTCTTCCCCAACTGCAGGCCTGGAAGGTGCACCTGATGGGCAAAGACGGATGCCGCATGAACCTGAGGCGGGGGCACTCTTTGAACAAGAGCTTGCCAACGCAGTCCGTGGCTGGTACAACCCCCCTTGTGTGGGTGTTGGGGGGTGGGGTGCCCTGATTCCCCTGAGAATGGTGTGTGGGCAGAAAATTTGTGGTGGTGTGAGTTTTCCCAGCACAAGCCAACTTGCATCCACCGTAACTCAAACCTATAACTTTTAGAACAACAGGAAGCCCCTGCGAGGAAGGAAGCCTCTTACGGCTGTGGGGCCAGACCCAGGGGGCAACTTGGAATGGATTTTTCTGGGAGAGCCTCCTCTGAACGGGCACATGGGGCACAGCAGGGGATGGGTGCGCAAGGCAGCCTTCCCTTCCCCAGCGTCCCCAACCAGCTGGCTGAGCTTGACGGACCTTGTAGGCCAACACTTCTGGGTTCAGGGAGCCTGGTTCAAACCGTATCCCTTGTACATGGAAGCTGATCCTGCAAGAAGCAGTTCTTGGACTGGGAACTGACTCTGTGTCTTGGGTCTGATCCAGCAGGGCTCTTCCTAGGTGTTTGTAGAAGTAGATGTAAACATTTAGAAGATTTATATCCCATATTTTATATATACATCATATTTATATCCCACATCTTGACCGGAGTCCTGAAAATGGCTAATCATATTTATAAAATACAGGAGGAACAGCAGGAATCAAATGCTTTGTGGCTAAAGGAAGAAAGAAGCCCCAGCTGGCTCCCGTGGGGCAGGAGCCAACACTGGAGCATCCTGCCCGCGGAGCAGCAGGTCTCCCAACAGCCCACCGCAAGCAGGCCCCCCTGCCCACTCTGTCCTTTTCTCGCCCAAGCAGCTTGTGCCAGCGAGCCCCGGGGAGATGACTGCCTACTTCATGAACTGGCCACCACACAATGTGCAGTCAGTCCTCGCGGGGTCTCAGAGGCAGCCAGGTCGAGTCCCGGAGGAGGCTCCAAGCCACATCCGGCCCGTGTGGCCCGAGGCAAACTACCAAGGCAGGAGAGCTTGCAGCCCCCGCAGGCTCCCAGGTTCTCCTCCTCTGTTGTGAATCCCACAAGCACCCGCTTGCTTGCCTGGGGTACCTGTGTGTGTGGAGCGGGAGGGTGCCCGCTGGAGCCTGAGCGGCAGCGAGTCCCTCCCTGGGCTTGCGTCGGGGGCCACACGAGTCTGTCCAGACACGAACTGTGTTCTCTGTTCTCCCGGTTGCAGGCAGGCCTGCCGGAACAGCGCTCAATCGATCCGGGCCAACGGGAGTTAAGCTGCGTTCCCCCTCGGTTGGAAGCAAGATCCCCACCCCACGCGCAGGCATGAATAAAAGCACTGGCAGAACGTATGCGAAGCGATGATGCGGAGCTCTTCTTTCTTTGGCGGTGCATCTGGCCACACCTGCAGTATTTTCCTCTGAGGTTTGGCTTGCCGGTGGGGGCAGCACCTCAACCCTTACTTTGCCCGAGCCGACACCCTGCCTGGTGGTGGCCGGCCAGCCGCCTTCCTCCGTATCAGTCTTTTGGTTCTGGTAGGCTTGTTTGCTGTGCCCCACGGACTGCATCCTGTCTGCCTCAGCGCTTTTGCATGGAGACTTTGTGCATCAAAACCTCCACCTGCCACTCCAAGGCTTTAAGCCAAAAGGGCTGCTTTTGCCCCTTGCCAGCTGCCCCTGGTTGGCCAGGTACAGATTAGCTTTCAGCCCCTCTGGGGTGGCAAAAGCAGGACACAGAGGAATCCAGCCATGCCCTGCCGCTCCCTTTGACCTCCAGCTCATTTTCTCTGCCCTAGCACAAGAGCTTCATGCAGGCTGCCTGGTTTTAGTAGGATTCGCAGCAATAGGCATAGCCAAACTCAAGCATCTTCTCAAGGACGTCTCTAGGCAGAGCGAATGGCCATCTAGGCATAGCTGGAGGATTAACAAGGCAATTTTGACATGTGAGATTGCATGGTTTTCCCCCTGCTGCTCTTGCAGGACTTTCACTAGAGATCCTCCCGGGGAATTGTGACCCGCAGGACCTGACCTGTTTATCTCCCTTCCTGCAGCCCTTACAGGATCCCAGGGATTATCACTGGTGGTAGCTCCCCTCAGCTTGCCTTGAAAGCAGGGTCCTCTCTTTCCTTTGTTGATAGAGGTGCCCGAAGGGGCGGTTTAAGCACCCTAAGCGGGGCAGCAAGGCTGTCTTTGCCGGGGCAGTTCAAAGGTACCTTTCCCCCACACTGTGTCCATTGCTTTCTGTGTAGCTGCCCTGATCCAGCCTTGCCCACAGCCCTTCTCTAAAGACGAGTGAAGGTTCCGCCTAAGAAACAGTAACGCTTTTGCTTGCTTTACCATCCCTTGCTAGTAGAGCAGCCGAATGCATTCTGAATGCTTGCAGTTTACAAAACTAAGAAGTCCAAGGAAAGAGCAGTCTCCCGGCTCTCTCCCCACTAAATGCTGAGTGGGGATGATGGCTGTTACAACCCCAACACATCTGAAGGGTAGCAGGAAGGGGGAAGCTGTGTCCCTTTCTTTGTGTACAGGAAAGTTTTTGCTTGAAGCATTTGCCTCTCTTCTGTGGTCTTAACTGTTACTACCCAGTGAAACCTGAGCAGAACCACTTCTCTGATCGTGGGCTTTGGTCCCAAGGAGAAGAGATGGACAAGTGACCCCTTTCCTGCCAAGCGCAAGGGCCAGGACTGTGAGCCCTGCCTGTGTGAACACGAAATGAGGGCGAGAGCTGAGGATGTGTGTTCCACTGAGGGAATCCAGACTCTCACAACATGGGCAGTGGCACATACCACAGTGATTACAAATCCTGAAGAAAACATAGCTCTTTGAGGACAAGTTCCCAAAGGGAATTTGCCCTACACACCCAACACGCAGACACACCCAGATAGTGCCTTGTCTCTTCAGCCCCCGAGAGCTAGCTGGGTGGGTTACACATGATGGCACCATCCTAATGCCAAGGTTGCTCAGGAATGATACTCTCCCTCATGGTGCATAGCTCCAGAGAGGCCCTGTTCGTCTCCTCTCCTTATGCCAGTCAAGGGCCTGGCTGGTGTGCAGAATAAATCAGGCAGGCGCCATAGAAGAATCTCCCCTGAGGTGGTGCCCTCTGGAATCCTCCAGCCAATGATGCCCCATAGACCGGGGGAAATAGCCCCAAACTTCTCAGCAGTGCACAGGGTCCTGTGGCAAAGAAGGGGATACAGAAAGAGCTCCCTGGCAAGGACAAGTCTGAAAACTCCTCAAGGTGGCGACTGAAAATCCTGAGTCGCTACAGGGTGCAACCCATGCAGTGAAAGGGGTTGGCTTCCATGCCATCCCAGGAACCCCCCCCCCCCAATGAACCTCTTTCAGCTTCTGAGAGGACGTACAATGGCTGGAGCGGTATGAGCAGGCACTGGGATTGTGCAGAATCCCGCTGCAGGCAGGAACAGAAAGGCACCTAGGAGGCGTGGCTGCATAGTGCTGCGAGCCCCCGTCAGTTCAGACCACGCTCCTGCGCAGGTTCAGACAGGAAAAAGACTCCCAGCATGGAGCAGCCCAGCAGCACCGGAAGCGGTGGGCTTTGCTGCTGCCTAAACTTGCATAGGGTTGCACCGCCAAACTCTGAAAGCAGCCGTGATTTCCTCCCTTTGCCTCTGGCTCAAGCCTTGCTAGAGCAAGGCCAAAAGAAAAAGGAGAAAAAATCGGCCAGGGAGGGGAGTTGAAAATTGTGTGGTTTTGACAAAGGCATTGCATTTTTCCTTCTCTCTTCAGGAGTCAATATCAGCATGGGGGGAAAAGATAGTCCACTGAACTTTCCACAGCCACTGCTTCAAAGAAGTCCAGCTAAAGGGAGAACCACCATTCCCTCCCCGAGCGCAGCAGCAGCAGCAGCAGTCATTGGGGGTGGGGGGTGAGCATGGATGCAGCTGGTTGGCCAGCATTTCCCCAGCAGCAGCACTAGCCACAGGCCCCATAGCCAAGGGGAAATGGGGGGGGGGGCAAGAACAGGGCAGTCCATTGTGTGCAGGTTATCAGTTAATGCACATCCTACAATGGGACAAGCACTTGTCTGGGTTTAGCCCCTGCCCCCAGCACTGTTTTTTCTTGATTTCTGGACTCTCCAGAGAAGCTGGTCCCTCTGAGTGCGATGAGCATCCTTCCAGCAGGTGTGCCTGGCCTCCCTTTGCAGGTGCCACAGGCAAGTGACAGAACAGCCCAGTCAAGCGGACGTCAGGGTTCTTACCCAGTGTTAACATTGTCTTAATGCCCCTGGCATGATTTGCTCTCCTCCTCACAGCTGCAGAAGTTTGGCCCCAACTTTCAACATCTTCACTTTTTGCCGTTTCCCCCTCCTACCCAATCTCATTAACAGGCTGAGAGTGGATGGGTAAGGGAATTTTTAAATTAGAAAATACTGATCTCTAGGTAGCCTTAGCGAGGTTAAAGTCTTCAGAGGCAAGAATTTTCTGGTCCCAACCCAGGAGACTCCCAGCCACAAGATGCAGAGGTGGCACCCTGGTGTCCTGCGGATGTGTTGGAGTGCTCCGCCCAGCATGCTGGGCTAGATGGGCCCTGCTTGAGCAGGCGGGGCTCTCGCCGCGCCACCGCCTCTTCCTCTTCTGACACTGTTCAGTGGGAACTGCAGGCCCGGCCAAGCAGACGGTGGGGCGGGGGATCGCGCTGGACTGTTCCCAGAGCCGCACCACCAACCCGCGGGACGCTTGCTTCCTGGCACAGAAGAGACAGGCAGGCTAATGGGCCCACACGCCTCTTGCTGTGCTTCAGACTAGGTTTCATTCAGTAGACAAGCAGAGTAGAGCACACAGGGTTAGAGGCTGGAGGGCCCTGCCCTCGCTCTCCTGCACTGCCAGCCTCGAAATGCATGCGCTCTGCCCCTGCTCTGCTTAGCAGCAGCGGCTTCTTCCGCTGAGCAGCCACTTAGGACGCCTGGACTCCTCACCTGACCTGCTCCTGCCCGGCCCGGCTCTGCTTCCCTTCTGCCTGGTGCTTCTCCCAAGAAGCTCTTTCAAGCACTGACTCCCCTGCCCCGAGCCCTTCACAGCTTGCTGGTTGCAAGGCTGGCAGCTGTGCCCAAAGAAACAGCTGCTTTTGAGGGGCAGACGGGAACACGGGGTGAAGGGAGGGATTCTGTGAACAGAACAGCACGTTGGGAATGCTTGTTGGCTGGCTTAGGGCAGAAGTAAGTGCTTTGGTGGCGAGCGAGAGTTCCCAGGGGTGGCCAAGGGAGGCGTTTTCAGGATGGTGTGGCAGGGAGGCTCAGACACCCCCCCCCCCAAGGTACTGAGAACCCCTTTTCCAGGCTGTTTGGATCCCACTCGGACTTGCAGCTTGGAGAGCGGTGGGGAAAGGAAGGGCGAGAAAAGGGTCGAATCCCCCCATTTTACCTCTGAAAATTACCCCCACCCTGCCCATGTACAGAGCTGATCATGCAATGAAGGGTTCTTAGGGACTGTGGTTAGAAATTACAGGCCTGTCTCTAAGGACCCTTCCAGAAGAGCAGTCTGTGCTCATTCCACGTGGCTGGGGTTCTCCACTTTGGGTTCCATGCCATGAGGACACTGATCCAAGACTCCTGAACCCCGTCGGGCAACCAGCTCCCATGGGGATTTCCAGGTGACATGAACCCTCCCTCAAGCCGTTCCAGCTTAGCGATGGCAGGGCTTGGACTTTATTATAGCAGTGAGCAAATTGCTGGATAGCAGGCCTGATTCCAGAGTTTTGCAGTCTTTTGTTACTGTAGATCCAAGTTACGCACATATTTGTACCAATCTGATAATAAAGTTCTATATTTCAACGAGGAGTGTTGCAGAGGCTGTTTGACAAATGTGTCTTATCAATCTAGATGTGGATTTCTAGTCCACCCAGTGGTCAGCTGCACCTGTGTCGCTTTATCATTATGCATAACCTGCTGGAACAGAATATGGAGAGACAGAATGGTTTTCTATAGGTGAAGGGTGTATGTTATCTCCCAATCTGTTCAGTCTGTACACAGAACTTACCATAAAGAAAGCTGGATTAGGATCAGAGGAAGTGTGTGCAAACTGGTGCACATCTTAAAATCTCAACAATTTAAGATATGCAGATGATACCATATTACTGGCAGAAAATGGAGATGAATTGAAGTTATTCCAGAGGAAGGTAAAAGAAGAAAGGGCAGCAGAACATTAAGAAAACAAGGCTTGATTACATATCAACAATGAAGAAATTGAAACTGAATGCTTTTCCATATTGTGGCTCAATCATCAATTCAAGCAGAGAGTGCAGCCAAGAAATTAGAAGATGGCCGAAACTAGGAAGGAACTAAGCAATGAAAGAGCCAGAAGAAAAATCTAGAAAAAGTAAGGCCATTGCCCTGGAGACCAAGGCCAAGAGCATCCATTCTATTGTATTCCCAATCACTGTATGGGTGTGAAAGCCAGTCAGCAAAGAAAGCTGGCAGAAAGAAAATGGATGCATTCAAAACACGGTGCTGGGGGAGAGCTTTGCCAATACCCTGGACCCACAGAAAGACGAACAAGGGGGTCCTAGATCAAATCAAGCCAGAACCCTCCCTGGAGCAACGCTGATGCAACTGAAGTTGCTGTACTTTGAGTACATTATGAGAAGGCAAGACTCACTGGAAGAGGTGCCTTAATCGTACTAGGGAAAGTCAGAGCAGAAGATGACAGATCTGTGGGACGGAGCAATTCCATCAAGGACACCACAGCCTGGGCTTCATAATGGTTGAGCACAGCTGTCGAGGACAAGATGTTTTGGAGGGTGTGCACTCATAATGCTGCACAGAACAACAAAACTCCTTGACCGCCGTTTTGTTTTTAAATGCTTTAGACTGTTCCCAGAATACATAGCAGCTCTGCTCAGAGTCCCCGGGGGAAGATAAATTCTCAGAAAGGCGAGCTGAGAACGACGTCCTGCTTAGCCTTGTCTGCCTGATTTGTGCATGGCTTCCATCTCAAAGCCGTCACTCGACAGCTTTGGATCACCATCGCTTGAATTCGTAGCTCGTGTTAAAAAGGTCAGAGAAAGGCCTCTGTTCCAACATAAATCATGCCGGATGAGATGGGCAGGGGTGGAGGCCCTCCCTTTGCCAGCATTAGGCCCTGGGGATACCAGCACTTCGAACAAGAGCGAAATGCAGCAGGGAGCCCAGTGGGACTAGCCTTCATTGGACTTCCGACTTCTAAAACCAAACTAAATAGATACATATTTCAAAAGCTTGCAAATGAAGGCTTCTGAAGGGCATAGGAGCAGGACTGGTACTGCTTTTTTCAATGTCCTTAAATGTATGCAAGCCAGTCTCCAAATAAAGGTGGGGGAGGGGTAGAATTTTTCCAGCTGGGAAGACTGCAGCTCCTTTTTGCTACTGAATCCATCATGCCAAGTCTCCAAAACCAAACCATTCCAGAAGCAACATACACATTTTTTAACAAGCAATGTATGGGTTGCTTTCTTTGGATGTTTATATCCTCCGGCTTTGGAGCCCGCCAGAGGCCTTTCCAAGGTGGAAAAAACATACTGGCCCAGAGGTTCAGCCCTTAAAACCTTGCAAATGAATGAAAAACGATACATTATGCAGGAATAAGAAACAGAGTCTCTTTTAAATTCAGTTCAATGAAAAATTTTTGAGTACTGCAAAATACGCAAACGCTTTATAGGGTAACGAAGGGCCATGTGGCCTGGTTGGAAGAAAATGGGGAGCGCGGCTCCGTGGACGTGCCGGGCCAGGAGTACCTCAGGGCCGCTCGCCTTGCGCGAGAAGGGGTTAACTGACGTCACAGGAGGGGCGGGACCTGAGCCCCGACGTCACTCGCCCCTCCCGGCTTGGTTTACCCCTCTGCCCAGGCCCGGCTCATCTCTACGCTTGTGCGTCAGCTGCGTCCGCTCTCGGCTTAATATAGTTCAACGGCTTCTATTCCTCGTAACCTAGGCAACAGGAAAGGATTCGGTGTGATTGGCAGCTGCCCTTCCAGCCGGAAGAGGCGACAGGCGGAGTGAAAAGGGAAAAGTCCACAAAGCCATTCATTGGCTAGAGCAGCAACACTTCGGGTGGGCGGGGCGGTCATTCGACAGCGCCGATAGCCATTGGGTGAAGCGCACGGGCACGAGAGGGCGGGGCCACACTGGGCCCCGGAAGCGACGTGCTTTCCGCCTCTAGACAGCGCCTCTCTAGCCACGCTCCTCGCACGTCCATTCCTCTGCCTCTTGTGCGCCTCACAAAGGCCGGCCAGAGATTTCAAATGCCCGTGGCCGTCTCAGCGTCACCGCAGGCGTGGCCGCCCCGGAAGCGGAAGCCCCCTCTTTCCCGCCAGACGCCGGAAGAGGCGCGGCGGCAGAGGCAAGAGCCATGGAGCCGGCGGAGTCGCAGGCGGCCGAGGGCGAGCCGTGGCCGGAGGTGGCGGCCTGCGGCCGGCGTGAGCTGAGCCTGGAGGCTGGCGAGGCGCTGGAGCGGCGCGTGCGAGCGGCCGGGGGACGCCTGCCGGCGGCGGTGGGGGCGCTAGGCGCGGCCCTGCGCTCGCTGGAGGTGCGCGGCGGCTGCGCGGCGCTGCGGGAACCCGGGCCGGCCCTGGGGCGCCTGGCGGGGCTGCAGACGCTGGCGCTGCCGGGCTGCGGGCTGGGCCCGGCCGGGCTGGCCCACGCCGGGCGCCTGCTGCCGGCCACGCTGCGCACGCTCGACCTCTCCGGCAACGCGCTGGAGCAGCTGCCGACCGAGCTGGGCGGAGCCGGCGCGCCGCAGCCCGAGGCGGCCGCGGGAGCGAGGGACGGCACGGCCGCCCTGCCCGAGCTGCGGCTGCTCAACTTGCGCCGCAACCGCCTGCGTGAGCTGGGCCCCGGCCTGGCCCGCCACGCGCCGGCCCTGCAGGAGCTGCTGCTGGGCGGCAATCGGCTGCGCAGCCTCCCGGGAGGCCTCGTGCCTGCGCCTGGCGACGGCGACCGCCGCGCCGCAGCCCCGCTGCCGCTTCTGGGCGTCCTTGAGGCCGCCGGCAACGACTTGGAGGAGCTGGGACCCCACATCGCCCGCCTGTCTGGGCTCAAGGTGAGGAGACAGTGGTGGCACCCTCGCTGCCCGGTTGCCCCCGCTTGCGCTTTGCTTTGCCCTCGACGCGCGTTGCAGAAGTCAGTGCAATGGCTCTGCAAGATAGGCCGGTGCCATTCCCATTTGGCAGAGTTTCAAGACTGCTAGCTGCCGACCACAAACGTCCCAGGGACTAAATCCTGGAAGGTCGTGTTACTTTTAGCTAGTTCCATTGTCCGACTACTTCGATTAGAAAATAAGTGAGCTTTAACTTAAAATGAATGCTTTCGTTTTTTTGTGTTTGGCCCTATAAGACACTGGAATGTGTCCTTCTGGGCCTCTCTGAAATGAATGTCAGCCTTCTGGCCATTCTGTACCCTTGCACTATCTTAGTGGGCCAATTGATGACCAAGCAAGAGCTCATAGTTGGTTTATTGTTAAGATCATATTCTAGAGGTTCTCCAACTAAAAATATTGCATCCTGACCTTTCAATTTAATTTTATATTGTTTTTGTGCTTCAGTGTTGATGATAATGTCACATCAAGAAAGGAGAGACTACGTTTAGAGCAGTCTTGTGGTTCCAACCCATCATGCACATGACCATAGCACCATTCAGATTTCTAACTCTGAGTTTGAAAAAGTCTTCTTACTCTGTAGCTGAGGGCCTGCAACTGGTGTGGAAAGGACCGCTGCTGGCTGTTTCTCTGAGGCTGTAAAAGTGAGCTCAGAGTGGGCCAGGGCAAGGGAGGTGAGAAGAGTGGTGCTGTCAATTTATTCTGTGTCCTGGTCATATCTCACCCTCTTTTTTTCTCCTCCAAAAAGCTGTAGTTTGGCCACCTAATTTGACTGTTAAGCTGTTTGGCAGGGTGGGGAGAGCACAGATGCCACCTTTGCCTTTACACATCAGATGCCTCCCTACAGCTTTTCCAAAGGAGTCATGTAAGGTTAAAAGCCCACTTGATTCACTTCCCTCTTCCAGCTCTGACCACACAGGTGCCAAGCTTAGTTTCTGGTTCACTGCACGATTGCAGTTTTCATAAAGGTGAGGCATGTGCTGTGTGAACCAGAGCATTCTGTGTAGAATTTCGCTTGGCATAAAAAAAAAAGTTCTGTGACGGATAGCTTTCTCTCCTGTGTTAGCATTTCCTGTCCTAAAAAATTCAGATAACATAAATCTCCATTACCTTTCTTATTTCTGCTTGTTTTAGCATAACAAAATGGTTGCTGTTGTAGCTGTGGCCAGACCTTTCCTGTGTGGGGATTTTGCCAGTTTGGGAAGGGGACAGAGATGAGAGCGGTTCTGCAGGTTATCAGAATCCATTTGCTTTGGCCTGGGAGCTTTGGAGCCTTTGGTAGTCTGAGATGGTCCTTGTTCAGCAGTGGAGTACTCAGTTCTCATGCAAAAGGCCCCAGGTACATTTTCCAGGTGGGGCTGGGGGAATTTCTGCCTGAACTCCTGGAGATGCCTGGCCAGTTTAGGTTGACCACACTGGATTCACTCCCTGTAAGGCAGTTTCTGATGTTGGTGTTACATACGAGGACATGAAGCTGCAGCCCTGCTATGTTTAGAAAGTGTGCTTGCCTTACTGAAAGGCTCAGGAGGTTTTCTTCATTACCTGAGGGCCCCGATCCTAGTGCTCAAACATAGTTGGTTTCTTTAGTCTTTTATACTACTTGAGAGCCTGCGTTCTTAGGATGGTTCTGCGTTACATGCAAAACAGTCCAGTTCCATTCCCATACCATGTCCTGTTCAAAGGACTTCACATAGTATGGCCAGGCAAGATACTCTGTCTGAAACTTGGAAAACTGCTTCCACTCAGAACATCGTCTGAGTGGGCCATTATTTGTATCAGAAAAGTTTATATGTTTTCTTTCTAGAGTCTGGATGTTTCCAATAACAAATTATCTGAAATCCCTGTGGAGCTGGCCGACTGTCCAAAGCTGAAGGATGTCAACTTGAAAGGAAATGCTCTCAAGGACAAACGACTGGAAAAGATGGTGAATGGCTGCCAGACAAAGTCCATCTTGGAGTATTTGCGTGTTGGAGGCCGAGGGGGCGGCAAAGGGAAAGGCAAGCAGGACAGTGCTGAAAGAGAAGAGCCAAGGAAGAAAAAGAGAGAGAAGAACAGGAAGAAAGGCAGTGATTCTGAAGAAGAGGCGGAAGAGAGCCGGAAGCTGCTGCTGAAAGTTCTCCACATCTCCGAGAATCCAGCACCATTGGTCATAAAAGCCAGTCCCAATGTCAAAGACATCCGTCCATATATTGTATGTTGTGTGGTGAAAGGCATGAAATTCAACCCAGGCAATGCTTTGAAGAGGTTTCTTTCTGTTCAGGTAGGTCTCAAAAGGTGTGCTTGGTGGGTTATGGGCACAGCTGAGCTAGGAAGGGCCAGAATTCTTGTCTGCTGGCAGTTCTGGAACCGATCTGGTTTATCATGCAAACAGCTACAAGACAAAAGAAGGCAGCAGTTTTCCTCTGCTGCATGAAAGAGCAAGACTAGATCTAATGGGCACAAATTACAGGCAGGTTGGACATTAGGCGAAACTTCTTGAAAGCAGGAGCAGTTCAGTCGTGTGGCTTAGTGGTGGGCAGAAGGTAGACAGCCAGGTGCTGGGGATGCTTTTGCCCTGGAGTTCCTGCATTGAGCTGAGGTTGGACTAGATGGCCTCCGGCTGTATTGTTTTAGGACAAAGTGGTGAAGAATTTTGGGAAACAGTTAACAGGCCAGGAGTCGCTAACATAGCTCTTTAAACAAAGAACTGATTTCAACTTCAGACTAAACTCCATGAGGACATTTGTGAGAAACGAACAGCAGCCACTATTGCCACGCATGACTTACGACTGGTGAAAGGTCCTCTTCTTTACGATGCCCGTTCTCCAGACAATCTCAAGGTAGAGTATGCCATAACAACCGGCTGGTAGCGAGTTGAACTCGGAGCTGGTTTCCTTGGGCAGGTAAGGGAAAGGCACAGCAGTGGGGTTTTGGCTGCTTTTGCCTTTGTTTTCTTGAGAAGACACTGGGCTACCTAAAGCAGATGAGTGGGTTGAAGCTTTGAAAAGTTTGCCTCTTTTGCGCCTTCTGCAGCAGTTACCTTTAATTTTCTTTGTCTGCACCCCATACGAATGAATAATTATTTATCTTAAATGGAGCTGAAAGGCATGACAGTTCCAGACTATTGTGCCTTTCTGTTCTTTTAAGAGTCAGGCTGTTGCTGTCCATTCTGTTAAGATAAAGTACTATTCTTATTTTTACAGATTTGTTGTTTTTGGTTTGATGGGCACAAATTCTTAATAAACTCATTAACTTGTCCATCCCAGTTAAATGCGCTGCAGAAGCTCATTTCAGGCTCTATGCTAAACTCTGCTTAAGGAAGCACTAACTTTGGTTTTGCATGATGTTTGAATTGACAAACAGACTTCTGCAGTCAGCTAGTAAAATGTATAGGGACCATGGTTTGATTGGGCTTCCAAACTTGCAGATTTAAGTGATTTTTTAAAATAGAGAATCCAGGGTTATAGCTCTTACTCCACCCTTAGAAGCTACTGTGCCATGGAGATGGGAGGGCTGAGCAGGTCGAGATTGGCTCAGAGCCACAGATCGATTGCAAGGTCAAACCATAGTTTGGGCTTTTGGCTATGGCTAGCACAGGCAGATTTAGCGCAACATCTGAATTTAGCCTCTTATGTAACTTGAGGTATTTTATTTGCACCTGAGAAGTGTGGCTTTGTATTTTGTGAACTGGCTTAACATAGCATGCAAAATCTTCCAAGCAGTCTTTCACAAAATTACAATGAGATTCTGTATTTTTAAGATCAGTTGTATTGTTACTATTACTTAAGCAAATGATTTTGAGGAAATCAGAATCTTAATATAGCAAAATTAGAATGGTGTCCTAAAGAAGAATTGCAACGTATCGTTTGGAGGCTCTTAGAAACTGGTCCTGATGTGAGAACTTGTTAATGGACTCCAGAGTCCTTTTTGTTCATGTTGTTTATTTACTGAATCTGTTTGAAACGTTACAGATCGTTCCCTTGGGCCGGAAGGAAATTAAAGCAAAGGATCTCCTCCGGCAGCTACAGGCAGAAGCTGAGGAGCAGCGAAAACAGAAGAAAAGGCAGAATATCTCTGGACTGCACAAGTTAGTGTTAACCTTGGAGCGGAGCGTGACTCCCGGAAGTTTGCAGAGTCCACAAACAATTAGGTTCTCTAGAACCATGAGCATAGCCTTTTTGTGGTGGCCCCGTATGTTTGGAGCTTTCTCCATCAAACTCCTTTTGCCCCCCTCTCATTTCAGAGTTTTAAGCAAGGCCCTAAATATTTGTGCTTTACTAGGCCTCTGGGTGACGTGCTGTCTGCTCCTATTAATCCTTTATGTCCAGTGACATGCTGCTTTTAGTCATCTACGATGCATGTTCATTGTGTTGATTTTTAAACTTTTGTTGTACATCACACTGAGAATGCTCGGTCGGAAAGCTAGCTGGTACGTTTAAATAGATCGACCTTTAAAAGCCCAGTGCTAGAGATGAGCAGAAGCCCGCAGACTGGGAGGCGCACGCTCATCCAATGCAGAGCAGAAGGTGTGTGGGGGGCAGTATCTACCTCCCACTCTGCGTTGCTGCTGAAAGGCCCTTTTCAGCTGTCTTGTGACAGTGTTTCCAAGGGGGAAATAAACTGAAATAAACTGGTCTTTACCTGGCACCAAAAAGAGTAAAAGAGGCACCCGGAGAGCCCCTCTGGGAAGCTCATGCCAGAGTCAGGGTGCTGCTCCCGAAAGGCCCTTCTTCCTGCTGCGACCCTCCTGATCTGGCCGTTGTGCAACTGAGTAACAGTTGAGGATAATGGGGTTGGTCTGGCCTGCTTCGTGCCCCACTTCACTGGTGCTGGGGCAGGTGCTTGTGCTTGCCCTTCCCATGAGCCCAAGGCCGCTGCCACATTGGCTTGTCCTCATTGAATTCGGAAGGATTCGCTTTTGAAAAGCCATCTATAGAAATGAGCTATAAGTAGCTCTCTTGGTCCCTGCTTATGTGTGAAGGGTCAATGCTTGGAAGTTTTCGTGATGAAGATCAAAATTATCAAAACAGCATTCAGTGTTATTTTTTGATATTGGCTCTCAGTTTTCTTGCAAACAGAAGTCCCTAAAGTTTAAAGTTTTAAAGTTACTCTTCTCATTTGTGTATCAGTTTCTTACTTCCCTGTCAAGTGCCATGGTAATTTCTGCCCCCTTTTTCACTCCTTATCAGGTACCTCCAGTTATTGGATGGGAAAGAGAATTACCCTTGCCTGGTGGATGCTGAAGATGCTGTCATTTCTTTCCCACCGATTACAAATAGTGACAAGACAAAGGTAGGAACGCTGTGGTGTGATCAGGGCTGTTCTTTCCCTTAGATTTGTAGAAAAGATGAACTCCTGCACCAAGCAGGTGCCTGTACTGAGATTTGTACACTGCAGGCACACGCGTGTGCTTTTATTTTGCATGGGCTTCCACAAGAGGTCGTTGAGGCCCCATCGGTGTGGGTGTTCAAGGATGGGCTGGACATGCACATGGTGGGCTTGTCATGAGTGGAGCTGACTGGAACCGGGGTCAGACTAGATGGCCCGGGAGGCCCCTTCTGACTTGCTATGTTTCTGTAACTCTGGTTTTGATAGTCCTGGGAGGAGCAGGGGATCGAATCCTCTGCCCCGCAGCCATTTCTTGGACAGAGCAGAAGCCTTTGATGCTGATATTGTGGCAAAAAAAGCTCCTCCCGCAGTTTCTGAACCTTCTCAGAGAAGCATGAGGGTTCAGCGGAGGTCTGAGGCCAGAGCCTGGATCTCTGCAGAACAGCAGCTGAGTCCAAGAGGCGAGGAGCCGGGCGCTGGGTGTTCTCAGCCAAGCCAGTGGAGCAGGCCTCCCTGTTGCAGCCAGATGGAGCTCCTGAAATGGCGCATGAAGAGGGAGCTGTGGGCAGGCAGCCTGCTGATTCCTAAAGAGCCCATCACTTTTCTTGCAGTAAATCCCGCTCTTGCTGCAGTTGGGGCCTAAGGCTGCAGACGCAGCTGGCAAAGTTCTTAATTCCCATGAGTGCTTCTCTTTTTTTCCTTGTTGTTAAGCTGGGAAAAACAACCTCTGACGTCCTTCTGGAAGTCACAAGTGCTACCAGCCTGCAGATCTGCAAGGATGTGATGGACAGCCTCATTCTAGTAAGACTTGTTTGGACTTCTGTTTAACTGTAGACATCCAACAGCAATAGAAAGCTGAAAATCACTGCTAAAAAAGCGGCTGTTTGGAAGCAAAGCTCATTGCATAAAACAAGCTCACTTGGGCAGCCGGCAGCCTACTTCATTCGAGTGGCCCCCCTTCGCACAGAGCTGCCCATCTGCCAGGGGTGTCCGTAGTCTGCTGTTGCCTGCGTGGGATGCAGCAGCTCAGTTTGAACACAACAGCTGGCCACATGAAAGTGCCTGCTTGCCCCTGTTCATTTTGCTGCCACGCCTTTTCAGTCAGGTCTCAGCTGGAATGCCTCCCAGGAGGCACCGGTTCCTCCACGGCATCCCTGGAATCCTGGCTCAAGTTCTTGTTGCGTTGGTGGCTTCTGTGGAGCTGCGTGCTGAGCAGTCAGCAGATGGTCCATCAAGCCCGGGGCTGGTCTGCTGTGTCAGGGCAGGTGTTCTCTCGGTTCTGGCGAAGGAGGCCTTCCCTGTCCGTTTGCAAGAGACCCTTCTTAAGCAAAGAGGCCAGAGGCTCTCCTGGGACTGTCAGCAGAACGCGGGAGGGCTTGGTTCTGTGCACTGAAGAAGACCCTGGTGGAGCGGGCTCTGCTCGAACCCTGCTGCAAGCCAGAGGTGATGCAAGCATTGCTTCACACGCAGCCCACAGTGAGCAGGTGTGGGCAGCACACCACAACCCCCGTGGGGCTGCATGTTCGTAAGGGTGGGTGCAGAAGCCCAGGATCCACTGTGGCGGGTGGTGGGTTGAACAACTGAGGATGAGCTTGGCATGGCGTGCAGACCGAATCCTTACACACTCAGGAAATGGCACGCGCTATTTCTTGTCTGCAAAAAATCACCCTTCTCTTTTAGAAATCAGTTAACAGGCTGATGAATGCAACTCCTGATTTGAAGTTGATCACGGAAAGGGTGCAGATCTGTCCAGTTTTTACCGTATTTTGCAGGGGCTGCATGCCAGCAATTTAAGCCCAAGGTCTTGGCTTAAATACGCCAAGATGTGCGTGAGCCGCTTGTGTTTGGGCACAGCCCCCCATTCCTCCTGTTGTGAACAAGGGGTCCAGCCAAGAGGTGCCGTTCACCTCTACTTCCCATCACATGCAGACTGGGTGCTCTCAGACATGCCAGGATTTGTGAGTCCGTTCCAAGCCGTCATTTTAAACTGGCTTACAGTCCTGGCAAACTTTTGTTTTGGCAACAGGGAACCATCGTTTCCAGTTTGTCTTGGTGGGAAGTCGTGACCAGTGGCAGCTCCCGCCCTGAGTTGGCAGGTGGTGGGGCAAGCCAGGAGTTCTGTGCAGCGCTCAAGCTTTGTCTGTTTGTCTGATGGGATCCCACACATTCCTTGATCTTTGGAAACTTCACATCCTCTCCAAAACTTACTGATTAGAAATGGGGATGGGGGTGTTCTTCTCCCATGGAAAAGAGATTGAGATTCTAACGTGTTCCTCTTTTATGGCTTTTCTGTGTGTCTTTGGGATTACGGCATACCCAAAGCCCTCCGTATTCCCTCCAGCAAAATGCCCATCTGCCTCACAAGTGACTTTGCAGGCCTTTGACCAGTGGCTTTGCCTCAGTTAGCGTTTTTCCTGGGTCACGGTGTGAAAACCCGCTCAGCTTTATTGAAGAACGCCTACTTACACATGGAAATCGGTTCCTTTTATTGCAGAAAATGGCAGAGCTGAACAAGTCTACTTTGGAGAATAATGATGTGGAGCTGGGTTCTGAAGAGGAATGCAATGAGGCTGTTCGGCATGAAAATTCGAGCCCCAGAGGTCCTTCCCAGAACTCTCCCCTGATGTTGGAGCAGGTTCGGGTCGTGGACATGGATGGGAATTTAAAAGTCCTTTATCCTTCGAAAACAGATCTCGGCGCGTTCTCCTCCCTCGTGACTATTGTTCATTAGGCGCCCTTAGCGTCCTCCGCTTGTCCTGGGGCGTGTTCTGTGACATTTGTAGCCAGCAGCCCCACTGGGTGACTTTTCCAGTGTACAGGCACCAAGGCGCCCTGCTTTGAGGCATGGGGCGGTTGACTGCTAACTATGCAGGGCTCTTTGGTCAAGAGAGACTCAGGCATCCGTGTGGTTAATGACATGGAACCCCCTAGCCAAGGCTGCGCTTGCTCCAGGCTGACATTGGATGAGGGCGCCGAACACTATTTATTTTAATGAGATAGGGTGGTACCTGTGCCGTGTGTGAGCAGGAGTCTCCTGAGCGTAGCCGCGCTCTGGCTGTGATCAGCAGCTGCGTGGGGTGCGGTCTCTGGAGGGCCAGCAGCACTGCCTCCACAGACACAACCTCAGCTTGTTCCGGCGGTCGCGGGAGGGCAGGCGAGGAGGGTGTCTCGCAGCTCCTTCCTCTCCCCGGTGTTCAGGTGCCGGCTCTCTGGCCGCATGAACTGCTTATTCCCACAGTTTGGGGGGCAGCCCATTCCTCCGGGGCTGTGCCCAGGGTCAGTGGAGAAAGGCCCCTTTGTCTGATCCACCGGTGTTGGTGAAACGATGTGGCGGGAAATGCCCATGCGCCAGGGAACTGTACAAAATGTCTGAATTGGAGCTTGTACCCCAGACAAGTTTTTCCAACTGGAGGCCCTCCAGCTCTCTGGGATTCCACCCTCCATCAGCCTCGTCTGGAATGAGAGAGTCAGGCATGCTGGAGTCAGAGTGCCGTGTGGCAGCAAAACGTCGCATGAGGGAAGAGGCCCCCAAGCCAAGGGTGGTGCTCCAGCCCGCGGGGTGGGCGCTCTTGCCAGGGCTCGAGGCCTCGATCGGAGCCTTCCCAGCTCTTCACATCATCTCAGTGGTTTGCAGCGCGTTGTGTCATTGCGGTAGTAAAATCACCCCTGCGCATCACATGCCACACTGGCTGGGGCGGCAGCACTGGTCAAGGGGCACGTGGTGAAACCACACCAGAGTGGTCACTTAGATGGGATTGGTGCTCGTCTGCCCTCAGTCTTGGTCCCCTCCACACTGCAGTGCCCGTGATCCTTGGCTGTTGGCCATACAGGTGGGCACTGGTGGGAGTTGTAATCCAAAATATGTGGAGAGCACCAGATAGTGGCCTTTCCAGAACCGGTGGTGTTTGTGGGAGGGGGTGTGATGCTGTTCCAGGAGAATAAAGGCAGAAATCCCACTGGATGTGCTTGAGCCCTGTGGCTCCAGCTAAAGGTACCCTCTTGCAGCATGGTCTAACTTTCTAGCCCTCAGTGATCACAGAGAAGGACTTAAATGATAGCAGCCACTCATGCCAAAAGAGTACAAATAAAGCGGAAAGAACATTTCTGAGCTTGGATTGGTCATTCGAGTTCTTACATTGTGCCTTCAGATGAAATGTTCCACTTTGCATAACAATTTCTGAACATCGCAGCCGGCCGCCGGAAGCTCCATGCCACGGCCCTTCACTTGCCTGGCTGCAGCTCTCTTGAACCTGCCCACCCTCGGGCTGAGAGGAGGTGTGTGCACTCTTTCCCTTCAGAATGTTCCCTGGGGTGCAATCCTGCACCAGCTTAGACAGAAAAGGGGCCTGCAGCTCCATGCTGCCTGGGGGGAATAGAAGCAGCAGCCCTTGTTTCCACCTAGACTGGGTGTACCCGATCACTGCATGACTTGAGCTCTGACAGAAGGTTCCCGTGCTGATTTGGATGCTCAGCGCGGCATCTGGTTAGCCACTGCTGAACCCCCATCGCTTGGCGCAAGGGCTGGTACGGTTGCAGTCAGAGCTCCTTCAGTGGTGCGCTGGGGTGGGAAGAAGGGAGTGCCCTCGTGACAGAGCCCTCCTCTTGAAGACACGCTTTTCTGGAACACCTGCAGAGCGCTCCAGCCACCCGCACATGGGACAGGCGCACAGAGCACCTGCGTTTCGGTGCAAGAGAGGCCAACCTGTTCGGCCACTGGCTGGCCTACAGAAAGCTGGCTGATTCGAAGGTGCGTAGCTGCAGTCTGTTCATGCATAGCTGCTTGCGCAACGTGTATTTTGGGGAGGCCTTCAGATTAGCAACATCATCCTTTAAAAAAACATTGGAATGGAGGGTGGGAGGACGTATGCTAAATTTAATGTGTGCCAAGCTGAGCCTTTCAAAAAGACGATCAAAGCATTTTTCTTTGGCCTCTTGGGATTGCAGCAGGAGCAGCCAAATTCATCTTGCTCTGACAGAACAGCTCTGGGGTCTCTTGAAGTGAGCCCACCCTTGGTGCATCCTGTGTTGAGGTTTGCGAGGCCGCCTCCCCAGGCCCGTGTAGCCGACTTCCTGCACCAGCCTGCGGCCTCCACAGCAGCTCCTGGCAATCCTGGTCAGCGGCTATGCAAGAGTCCAGTCTCCAGGTTTTCCTGTGGCTTAATTAGCCTGCCTTGTGTTGCTCAAGGACTTAGAAAGCTACTTACGGGATCACAGTAGGCTCCTGCGAGCCCCGCATTCATTAAAGATCCCCAGCAACTGCTCAAGAGTTCTCCAGAAATTGCCCAGTTAGCCACCGGCAGCTGGCAACTGCGTCTGTATCTCAAGTACAAGCTTAATAAGCGGTGGAGTTGTCATCTTCGTTGGAGCCTGCGCCAAAGCAGCAAAAGGTCGAGTGCAGAGCAGAGGCGGCGGCTTCGCCCGACCATTGCCCTGCCCAGCTCTGTACTGGCTGCACCAGCCAAGGGAATGCCAGGAGCTGCAGCCCAGAGCACCTGGTTTGGAGAGGGTGGTCCTACGTGGCTGGTGGCAACCCTCCGAGAGCCCAAGCAAGGACCCTGCCTGGAGGTCCCAAAGATCAAAGCTGGGGGATGTGAGCAGGCAAAGCCGGTGTTTGGGCTCTTCGTTTGAAAGGGCACGGCCTGAGCCCACCTGTAGGAACTGGGCCTGAAGGCCTCCTAAGCCCTTGCTGGCCTGCCGCGTCCTCAGCACAGCCAGGACCCGCTGCCGTTGCCCCCCTGAGTGGCTGTGAGTTCCACAGGCCAGCCATGCAGCAAGCTGTAAGGTCACTTGCAGGGGCTTCATTAGAGCACACTCCTTTTGGTAAAGGAAGAAAAAACGGTCTTGATTTTCTCCAGCAGGAACTGATAGCCTTCTCCTGACTGAGGCACTGTCCCTCATGAGTAAACACTGGCTGGAAAGGCCCAAGCGATCCGTTCATTCACACAGCCACTAGAGTTAGTGCAGTAGTGGTTAAGCACACAGGACGGGCTGAGGTGGTCTGGATCCCAGTCCTGCTCGGCTCAGTCATGGAGCCAACTGGGTGACTCTGGGCCAGTCATGACCTGCCTTACACAGTCGGGATAGGATGGAGAGCAGCAGGAAGAGAATGATGTAAGCTGTGTTGAGTTCTTTGTAAGAAGGAGGGATATAAATCTAATAATTAAATGTCACCACCCCCATTAACTCACTTCTTCCCCAATCCCAGCTGGGAGGAGGAATCTGGCATTTAAAAACTTCCATGTCCCACTGGGAAGCAATTTTGGGACGTTTTCCACCCTGATCTGCACAATGGATAGATGTCTCTACAGTGTCCCTTTTTGGTGGTCTTTTTCTCCTAAATGAAAATGTAGCAGATGCTGCGGCCTTGTAGGGAAGGCGTTCCAGAATCCCTGATAGTTTTAGTTGCCCTTCTTTGTATCTCTTGCATGGAATGTGCGAATGTTACGGGGATCCTTAGCTCCGGAGAGCAGGGTGATGCCCCCCTCCTCTGCAGAACCTCAGAACACAATTCCGTAGCGCTCTCTTCGATGGGATGCGAAGAACCCTGCAGCTGTGCACCTGAATTCAGCACGGATGTCAGTCCAGAAGCCAAATTCCAGTCTGGCAGAGTTCCTGTGAGCCGCATTCCCTCTCTGAGTGCAGCCAAAATGATTCTTAAAGATTTTAAGCCTGCTGAGAAATACGCACAACTAAATCACTCAAGAACACGTTGATATGGAATGCCAAACAGCATAGACGACGGCCATTTTATTTTGAGTACCTTTCCTCATTACGCTGCGCGTGCAGTTTGCCCTTTCCACAGCAGCCATGCTCAGGGCCGCCATTTTCATCGGACCCTCCCCCACAGCCCACCACATTTCTGTTCAGAAGGTAGCACGTGATTTGCAAGTAGCCAGGACCTAACTAGCAAGACAGAATCGCTGCGGCAACTTTCTTTTCAGCTGCTGCCACCGCCACTCTCCTCACCGTGAAAAAGCTCTTACCTCCCATCAGGATTTGATTGAAGATAAGAGCTGTGGTGCTTAGAAAAGGCCGCCTTTTCCATGCTCTGCAGGAAAGAGCTCTTCTGCAATTAGCTGCTAATTACAGATAAGCTTTTCCTGCCAGGAAAGTTTGGCAGAAGATGGCAAGCCAGAAGGGGAAACTCTTCCCTGTTTCTGCTGGTTTTAAGAATGAGGGAAACTTCACAAGTAATTTGGGAACCAGTCAAAAATCCTGTGGGAACACCCCCAACTTTTTAAGCATAACAACACGAGCCCATGGACAATTGCTTTGATGCAAGTCCCGCTGTTAGTTATAAGTCTGTGCAGAATTGACACTGTGGATCCTTCCATCCCGGATCTGTGTGCCCACGAGGATTTAAACCGTGGCTTTGTTTGGGTGCCTCATAAATGCTGAAATTCAGAGCTGGAATGTAATGGCTGCTATGCTGGTAGTCAAATGGAGAAGATGTTCGAAATTTTTCACTTCCTTGAGACTGAAACATTAAACATGTCCCCCACCAGCGCTCGCTCAATCGCGTGCTCGCTCTCTCTCTCTCTCTCTCTCTCTCTCTCTCTCTCTCTCTCTCTCGCTCTCGCTCTCGCTCTCGCTCTCGCTCTCGCTCTCGCTCTCTCTCTCTCTCTCTCTCTCACACACACACACACACACACACACACACACACACACACACACACACAGCTTCCTCTGCATTGTGGCCAGCAACTGCGTAACCAAGCTGGCGGCATAACGAAAGGCCCAGCCGGTCAGGTGTCATTTTTCAGCCACATGATTGTCCTGAAGTCCTGTAACCCGACAAGTCTCTGCAAGTACAGCTGTGTCGTCCAAGGGGCCCATCACCTTCTCAGCTTATCGGCAGCTTAATACATTTCCAAGAGCTTAGCTGAGGCTTTCCTGAGAGAGGTTCCCTCTTGGAAGGCTTAGGAGAAAAGGGTGATGTGGTCGACAGGGTCAGCCAGCCGGGCTCTCGGGTTTCTCCCTCTGGCCCTCACAGCTGCGCCTCGGGAACTGGAGCAGAAGCCAAGAGCAGCTGCAGGCCGGCTGGCCAAGGGGGCTGCATAGCCATGCCCACGGGAAGCCGGGCAGCTCTCCGCCTCCGCTGCAGGGAGATCCCTCGCCTCTGCATCGCGCAGGGGCAGCTGGGGACCCCGGCCCCATGGCTTTCTGGGCGCCAGAATCTCTCAGCAGCCCGCACTAGGCCCGGGTGGAGCAGGGGGGGGCATGCCGCAACCCCCAGGCTCACAGCACAGCGCAGCTTCTCATCCCGCTGCCGGTGGAGCCCCTGGGAAGGGTGCGCTGTGCGCTCCCCTTGCCCCCGCTGCCCAGAGGCCACAGGAGCCACGGTGAGATCAGCCCAGAGGAGGCGGAGAGCAGCCGCCCTCGGGAGGAGGCGCCCCTTCTGACTCGCAAACAGAGCAGCGCATCCTGGTGTGGCTGGAGCAGGTGAACAGGAGCTGCTTCGCCCCACTGAGCTGCGGCTTCAGGCCCCACCTGGAAGCCATCAAAATTGTCTACTGGGGGAGGGAGCACCTGGCTGCCTCGTTGAAGCCGTCCTTGAGATGACTCGGGCACAGCCTGCGTGGGAAGCCAGGCTCGCGAGGCCACTTAGTCTCTCGCCCCTGCAGCCTCTCTTTCTGGGTTCGCTTCAGAGCGGGTGGCCCCCCACCCCGCCCCACCAGGACTTTCCCATTGCTCGCCACCCCACGCCACTCTCCTCCTGCCCTCTGCATCCACGTGTGCTGGAAAAGAAAGCTGTGGGTTTTCTCCCTCTCGTCGTACGTGGGGCTCACCTGGTGAGATGGTTTGAGAGCACGTCCAGGACATACTTCCTAAACTTGCTGTAAGATGCAGTGGTGGCCGTGGGCTGAGATGTCTCCAGAAAGAGAATAGACAGACTGGCAGTGTGGAAGAGGCCTCTCCGTGGCTACTGAGATGAACCCCTGGCGGCAGTTGAGCTGGTCTGAGTTTGCTTTGCTCTTCCTCCTGCCCGAAGCTTGTTTCCTTTTGTGTTGTGACTTTTACACTGTAAGCTTGTGGACAAGGTTGGCCGCTGTGGAAGCCTTTCCTAGCTGGAGAGTGGGGACAGTGTGCATTCCCTAAATGGAAACC